TAATACGTTATATACATCATTTTTAAAACCCCAATTGAATTTCAGATTTACATTTTAGCCCCCATAGTCTGAAAATACCAAAAATAAACACCCGGAGGGTGTCTCAGCAAGGGAGCCGGCTCCCCCTTCATGGGAGCTGGCTCTCACCCCTCTAGAGCCAGTTCTCTCTCATAGAGAGCCAGCTCTCTCCCTGAGAGCCGTGCAACGCTTCTTCTGTTCGTCTTTTTTGTTTCCGACGAAGTACCGAACCCTCTTTATTGATTTTATTAAGATTTATAGGATCCAATTTAGGTCTCAAAAGTTCCAGAAACTCCTCAAATTCTAATACAAATTGCTTGACAAAAATTGAAACAAAATTGATAACAATTTACGCAATAAAACAATTTCAGTTACACAAAAACGTAAAACAGTTTACAGCCTGATTTAATATGCACAAACATCCGTTTTAAAAGTTTGATTAAATTCTTGGAGACTATATAGCATGCACAGAACACAGGTTTAAGGGAAGGAGTTAGAATAAAACTTGCCTTTAGTTTCAGTTTTGAAACCTTAAACCACCGTCTCTGAGTTCCAACAAATCCCAAGTCTGTTCTCCTCCTCTGTTGCCTCTTGGTTCAACCCACGAGCAACACAATTTCTTTCATCATTGACCCTCTCTATGTTTTTCTCAAGTTTCTCTCTCTTTTCCTCCCAAATCCCTCTCTATTTCTCTCTGCCTCATAGTACGTAAATAGGGTTCTCAAACCATTGGCAGACACGTAACTTATATATATATAGGCTTCTATAAAACCTAATCCTAATTCCAACCTAATTATAAGTTGGCTAACCTAATTACATAAAATAAAACCCTAAACTATCTACACATAAAACCAAAACACAGATGTAAAACATTTAATCGCAATAAACAATTATTTAAATTTCCACATAAGCATATAATAATAAAAGGAAATAATCAATTATTTAAAGTTCCACATATAATAAAACAAGTAATTCACTTAAATAAATAAATAAGCAAATAATTTAATTAACTAAATACCAATTAAACAAATAAGCAAATAAATCAATTAATCAAACAAAATTGCAATAAAATCATTAATTTAAATACCGAGACTGTCCTTTTAAAATTAGGGGTATTACAAAACATTCACCTATTTGATTGGTCATCGTTGTATTAGTTCTTTACAGCACCCTATTGTCTCACCTTGGCCTTTTTCTTGTTAGAAATTTTGAATGAAAATTGTTTCATCAGTCATCAACAGATGCCTTTGACTGAACATATGTGTTCACTGATTGGTTGTGAAATGAAAAAATGCAACTCAAAACCAACAGACATAACTTATTCAACGTGAACCATTGCAACCTATTGCAGTATGATGACCCAGTGGATATGTGCGAAACATTGGCAGGCTACCATATTGGGCGAGCTATGAGTGCACAATCTCACATCGCCTGGGTAAGGGAAAGGTGAAGTGCTTATTCGTAGGTGTGTCACTCTCATTGGTATAAGGCATTTTGGGATAAAGCTCAAGACCAAAACCGTGTTGGCTAAGGCCCAAAACGGATAATATCATACCATGTGGCGGAGTGGGTCGATACAAATGGTATCAGAGCCTGAACCAGCCGGAAGTGTGCCGACGGGGACCTCCAAGGGGGGTGGATTGTGATGACCCTATGGGCGAGTGTGCCATAGGCGGGTGTGAGATACTGGCGGGCTACCACACTAGGCGAGTTACATGTGCACAATCTCACATCGCCTTGGTAAAGGAAAGGTGAAGTGCTTATATGAAGGTGCGTCACTCTAATTGGTATGAGGCCTTTTGGGGTAAAGCACAAAAGCAAAACCATGCGGGTTTAGGCCCAAAGCGGACAATATTATACCATGCGGTGGAATGGGTCGTTACATGCAGTGGGTGTGTCTGGTGATGAATATATACATATAAATGGTTGTGTCCAGCGATGAATAGACACATATAAATGGTTGTGTCCAGTGGTGAAGAGACACATATAAATGGTTGTCCAGTGATGAAGAGACACATATAAATGGTTGTATCCAATGATAAAGAGATACACCCAATCTGAAAAGGCACTTCTATTTTTATAAATACCCTATTGGACTGCCATTTGCAATTCGTTCAATTTTTCTTCTCTTTTGCTTTTTAGACTTGAACTCAACCCAAGTGGGTTCAAACCATAGGTCAAGTGGTCCAAGCCACTTAAACTCTAATCAAGTTTCATTGAGCTATATTAAGATTGGTCCGAACCATTTGGTTCGGATTACACCCAACTCAACATTTATATAGTATAGATGCATTTTTAAGTCAGATAGAGTATTACACCGAGGAGGTTCACCATATCCACGAGTTTGAAGTGCTGTTTTCGGTGGATGTAGACCGTTATATCCCTGGAGACAAACGCCATTGAGTCCATCAGCATCATGCGAGATGTATATTGTCTTAAGGACATAGTATCCAATACTAGTCTCAGTCTAGGTTCTTTATTTATTATTATTATTATTTTATTACTTTAATTTGTATGTAAATTAAATAACGAGTTGTTTATTTAATTAATTATTTTTTAACATATTATTAATTATCTCATGGCATATTACTATAAGATTAATTATATATTAAATGTTATTTGAAGCATGTATTTTCAAACATTTTTTTAGCATGGGAACATTATTTCATTGGTCCTGAAAACCGAAGGCCACGTTAACTTTATTTTTACAAATTAAGTTGTTCTAATTTTAGCCAACGAAACTAGGGGTGACCACGGATCGGATCGGATTAAGCATCAATCCTAATCTGATTCGCTTGCAACGGATTGAGAGATTCTAAATCCACCACCAGTCCGTTAGCCCTTGGATCGGATCTAATCCGCGGATTGAAATTTCCTAATTTCACCAATATAATATAACATAAATTAAACCAATTTAGATGTATAATAGGTGTTTAACTCTATGAATCTCCTCAAACCTTAGTCACATCTGCAAGAGCATAAAACAATTAATTAGTTACTGATGAAACAAAGCTACAAATTCATATTCCAATTACATATCTCGTTTTAATAAGAATCAATAATCAAGTGATGAAATTATTGGAATAAAAAATTAAAGAAAACAAAAGAAAATAAATGAATTCAAAGATACTAATGAAACAAAGCAAACAGAAGGAATTTTAAAAAGAAGAAAAAAAGTCAGATATGAAATTATTGGATTTTTTTTTTTTTTTGAAAGAAAGCAAAATAAAGAACTTCAACATTTAACCAGAAAATCACAACACATTTAAATCAAAATAAGATAAGAGAATAAACTTTGTGAACTCACCGGAAATGGTATAGATCCGGACGATGAATGTGTCGTTGTTGCGGCCTAAGGTGAACTCAGGTCAACAAATGATGAAGACACTGATAGTGTTGTGGAGAAGGAGACGGCAGAGAAGATCAGAAGAAGAGAGGTGAGAAGATCAGAAAAAGAAGGAGACGATAAAGAAGATGAGCTTTTTTCTTTGGTCTTCTTTGGTTCTTTGGCTAGGTTAGGATTTGATTGAATGAAGAAAGAGTAAAGTTAGTCTCGTGAGGTGGTCCCAACAGTAATGCTATATATATTTATATATATAGGATTGTATAATTGTATATTAATAATTGGCCACGGATCGGATTCATGAATCGGATCGGATTTTTAAGAGCTTGATCCGTGATCCGATCCGTGAACCACGGATTCAAATTTTTTGCATCCGCCACCAATCCGTGGGTCTATCAATTTGATCCGATCTGTACGTATTAATGGATTCGCGGATTTTTTGCCCACCCTTAAACAAAACTCTCTCCTCTTTTGTCTCGGCCCATAAAAAATGCATAATATTTTCACTAAAATTTGGCGTACTCTAAGTAAGAACTTTAAAACAACTCATACTAAAAGTAGGATAACTATAATCCCTTTTTTTAATTTTGATTTTATAATTATTTTTTTTGTAGTTATACCAATAAATAAAGTTCAAGAATAACTTTTATTAACTTTAAAAAAGAATAAAACTTATTTAAAGATATTTATAGCAATTCTTAACTGTCACATTATGTCGATTTTGTAATGGGTAAGGGATATTGCTGACTGTATCATTTTTTACTCAAAGTATTGTACCTCAATGAGTGTTTTCTTCCATGTAAGTAAAAAAAAAGAAAAGAAAAAGAAAAGCCTTTCCACTCCTTAATTCGAGCCCCAATCCTATCTTAAATGGAGGGTCCACGGAGCCAGTATAGGATGGGGCACGTCTCCTGAATTTTTTACTTTCCTTATTATATATATATTTTTCTATAATATATATATATATTTATAATATATATATATATATTTTTAAAAATGTGTAAAAATGTCTCTCTCAAATTTCTCATTTACTTGTTTACTCTGTATGTTTCCTTATATTCTATATATGTTTCCTTATACTCTATATATTTTATATTCTATATGTTTCCTTATACTCTCTATATATATATATATTTGAATTATTTCATTATATTATATATATATAATTTATTAATTTACCTCGTTCTAAAAATATCAATCTTTATATATATTCATCTATTTCTCTTTATGTATATACTCCATAAACACTAAATTAGCAATGTGACCCTGAACAAAAATTTTAGCTCCATGGATTGATTTATTTTTATTTTTCAGTCGGTAACAAGTAGCAAAAGTTTGTTCGCTCAATCTCTCCCAAAAATAAAAAATAAAAAACTTTTATTAATCAGCTACACGTGCTAGTTGCAACTTTGAGAAATCTTTTACTACTTGGGATTAAAAAATATTCTCTAGAATAAAGGAAAAGTATTTTAAAAAAAGAAAAAGAAAAAGAAAAAAAGTAACAAGGAATTAAAAAGTAAAGTAGGTTCCTCGGTTGAAAAAGTATAGGGCTGACTTGAAATATGGTCCCCCGACATATGACCAAATCAGTACTTCTCTTTATTAGATAACTGAGGGAAAAAAACTGAAACAGCTGTGACAAATCAACCAAACAATGCCTCTGACCAGGTTGTAAACAATGCTGAATAAATAAAGCAACAAAACCTACCAAAGTCAAATAAGGGAAAACCCAAATACCTCGACTTTTGACTGCCATTTCTAGGTTTGCTTTGCACAGCGATTCCAAGAACCCTTTCACCAACAATATCGAAACTACAAACTCCCTACAGCCTTCATCAGTCCCTTCTTCATATTTATACTACAAGTTCTCTTTCCCTATATATATATATATATATATATCTAAATTTTGTATTAGGGGTTAGTCAGCAGCAAATTCACTTCACATACCCTTTATTTTTTTTGTATTTTCTTGGAAGATTGGGTCTGGTGTAGATCGGTAAGTGAAAATCCGAAATACCCATCTGATAATTTCTTCTGTAAATCATTTTTTAAGCTAATTTGGAACATTTGGTTGTTTGTTATTGTCAGTATGTTGTTTTAATGATCAAAATTATTGGGTTGTTGATACAGGTTGTGGAATTGAAGCTTTTGGAAGAAGAGGTAGATGTTGAGTTGGTAGAGGAAGAAGCTGACTTGGGGCTTAAATTTATGGATAAATTCTGCTGCTTCGGCTCTCAGGTGAGGATATTATTTAGATTTTTAAACTGTTTATTTAACTTTGGTTTTATACACACACTTTTTAGTAGATTTTTTTTAGTATGTCTGTTTAGTAAAACTCTCTTAAAAAAACAGATGATGAGCTTGATTTCAAGGTGATATTTGGATTGGGTGTGCTACTAAAAAAAATGGATTTTTGCGGCTAGAATTAATGGGAAAGATTGTAAATTTGTGGGATTGTTTGGTTGCAGGAACTTCAATTAGGGTTTTAGTTGAATTACTATAAAAGGTTGAATTATGTATGTTTACACCTGTAAATTCAGCGATTTCTTTTTCGAGCATGCTTCATTGGTTTTGCACTCGTATCAAAAGCATTAGTTCTTAGAGGAGTTTGTTGGATTATTAACACGAGGAATATTCGTTGAGAGTGAATTTGTTTCTTGCCAAGATAAAAATATTGGGTGAGGTGAATTGTATGGTTGAACTCCTAAATGATATCAAGTTCAGTTATTGCTAATTTGCTATGTTGATTGATGATACAACATGCATGATATTTATAGCCGAATCTTATGGGTATTGTAATATCCTTTTACCCTTGTTGTGAAATTGAGCAAAAAAATTAGTGTGATTGGATTTTTATATACAATGTATATTCGCAGCTTTGATTTTGTAATCTGGTTTTAGTATTGGTTTTAGTATTATGTAATATTCATTTCAAATTAGAGTTCTTCTTTCACTTTAGCTTCCAGGGGGACGGTCTTCACATGGCTCTGGCAAAGGAAGAAGCCATCAGGGGCCTATCAAGTATGGTTTTAGTTTAGTGAAAGGGAAAGCAAATCACCCCATGGAGGATTATCATGTTGCTAAATTTGTTCAGCACCAAGGACGTGAGCTTGGACTTTTTGCTATTTTTGATGGGCATCTGGGAGATAGTGTACCTGCATATCTACAAAAACATTTGTTTCACAATATTCTGAAGGAGGTGGGTTGTTGGTTTGAATTCAAAATGCTGCCTTACACACATTAATTCAGAAGATTTACAATATGTTGATGAATTATTCCAGGAGGAGTTCTGGACTGATACCACTAGGTCCATTTCTAAAGCCTATGAAAGAACAGATCAAGCAATTCTTTCACACAATCCCGACTTGGGAAGGGGTGGCTCTACTGCGGTCACTGCAATCCTTATGAACGGTCGAAAGCTTTGGGTGGCCAATGTTGGAGATTCACGAGCAGTTCTTTCAAGGGGAGGACAAGCAATACAGATGAGTATTGATCATGAGCCCAACACCGAGCGGGACAGCATTGAAGACAAAGGTGGCTTTGTGTCAAATATGCCAGGTTTATGATACAACCTCTGGTTATTTCTTAGCAGGCTATTGTTGGAAAATTAGTTTTTTATTTGAGAATTCTATTTCTGAAATTAGCCTGCCTCTTCCTGTTATCATCTGCTCATCAACTTTGAAGTGGGGGAATAAATAGAAAATTCTTACCTCGAGGTTTTGGTTTTATGCTGAGTCTTTATTGACACAGCTTTTCAAACGATATATAGACAGAACCCACTATTTTTTGAGGATGGTGTGATTGCCATCTAGTTATCAACCTTTAGATACAGTATACCTGTGCACTTTCTGATGTAGAATTTGAGTTTGAAGACCACAGATCCCTATTGGAAGGCAAGGGTGATGGCGATGATATCCCTGTTTGAACTATATTTAAATATTGGTAGGATAAAAAACACTGGTTCTAATTTCACATGTCATAAAAAGTCTTCAGACACCAATATGAAAAAGAAATAAAAAATACCTCCAAGATTTACTGGGAGGACCATATAGTCCCAAGATAGAGTGACATAACCCACATAGAGGGTTCTACTAGGAGAGGTGGAAGAGCTAAGTTAACATGGATAGAGGTAGTAAGGAAGGATATGTTAACATGTGGGGGTTTGACTGAGGCCATGGCCTCGAATAGAGCAGAATGGAAAAGCGAGATTCATGTAAATAACCTCAAGTAGTTGGGAAAAGGCTTTGTTGAGTTCAGCACCAAATAGTCCCAAGATAACGTGGTGTGTTGTGATTGGCATGCAACAATTGCCATAGGAAGTATGCTAAGAAGCACGACGACAAGACATGGATACGGTGACATGACAAATCCTAAAAAATTAAAACACGAACACAGAGGGGACACAACGAATAATAAATATAATTATATATATGTGTGATAATATATTTTTCATCAAATTAAGAATAAAAAATTCTAGAGTTCTATCCAATCATGGAACGTTTTTTCAGCTCAAATGAGAAAGTTGTAAAGCCTTGATGTTATATAAAGGAAAATGTTGGTTAGTAAAAAAAAACAAATTGTTTAAAAACTGAAGAGGATGTTAAAATTGGTGAAAGAGAGTAGAAACAAAGTAATATGAAAATAAATGCATTTCCAGGAAGTTTAAGGTGGTAACATTTTTGCTATCATTCATCATTGGTTGCGTGATTACTATACGTGAAATCATGAATTTAATTTGAGACAATGCCAATTTGGAGTTGCCAAGTAATAGTAGTTAAATTAAAGTAATCTTAGTCAGTTAGATACAAGCATGGCCTAATTTTTCTGATAAATGATTTTGGGGTTGCCAAGTAATAGTAGTTCAAAAGGGAAATAAATTTTGGTAATGACCAACTTTTTGGGCTGCCGCATTGGTAAACTTTACTTAAATGGGACTATCCAAGCTGTATGAACTAATTATTGGTTGCTGGTTTGTTGAAGAAATCGAATGATATAAGGCTGTCAAACAAACTGGCATCCTGTTGTATCTGGTGGAGAATTATCAAAGTAATACTGTGAAATAGAGTGGAGGAAATGGTTGGAATGTGGCTTATATCTGGTACATCATAACATATTTTGTAGTGATTATTGCCGCATTTAATCTGAGTAGGATTAAGTTAGCTTAGCAGCTGGACTATTTTAAAATATTTTTCTTGCATTCTTCCATACTCTATACTTCAATCAAACAGAAGCAAACAACATGAAATAATGGCGCAACCTGAGTTAAATTTAGTGTTGTTTTTGTTCAAAAGAGGATCTCAGTGTTGTTTGAGCTTGAGTTGCTTAGGATTAAGTTGCCTGAAATAATAGATAATGATGGCAAGGATTCTTGAGTACTGTAGTAAAGACAATTAGAATATTTAGAAATTGAAATATATAAAATATATCCACATTTAAAACAAAATTTGAAAATGCAAAATTTAGCAACATTTTGAAGAATGAGAAGATAATGCCAGAAGTATTTATCTACCATTAAAATTTAAATATGCCCTTGGTCCTATACCTGCTGAAACTTCTTGTATTGAAAAATGTCAAACACGAATCACCAATCGAGACGCTCGGTTAACTTTTTTGGAGTCAAACTATCTTTGTGCAAAAATTTTCTTTTAGGCCAACTATTTTATATGGCGCAGAGTGTTAGGAGTTTAAAAAGAAGGAGCAATAACTAAGAAAACATGTTGCAGAAATGAGGATGTTAAGATGGATGATAGGAGTGACTAGAAAAGATAGGGTTACAAATCAAAATGAGTGAGAAATTAGGTGTGGCACGTATTAGCAATATGATTAGAGAATATAGACTTAGGTGGTATAAACATCACAGATTACCTATAGATGCACCGGTGCGAAGAGGAAGGATAATTTGCATAGAGGGTAGGAGGCAGATAGGGTGCCCGAGATTAACATGGGATGAAATTATTAGAAATGACTTTAAAAAGTTAAATATTAGAGGAGAGATGGCTTGTAATAGAAAAGAATGGAAAAAGAGAATTGATGTGGCGGACCCCATTCATTTGGGAGTAGGCAAGGATGACGACGACGATGGCGACAAAACTTTTCAAGAAAAAATATGTGGCCTTTATGTGGGATCGTGGGTGTACAACATATAAATTATGCAACGGATAAAATTTGGACTTGTTGACTTGTCAATATAGTCAATTCCTGGTTCTGTTGTGATTTGATTGGGACTCTATTAATTGGTGATCCTATGAGGAATTTTATCGAAATACTGATATTTTATGTAGAAATTTGCAATTACAACGAACCATCAGGTTTGTAGGCGTCAACCCAATCTGACCCGTTTGTGGGTGAGTATAAGGAGGCCAACCATACATAACGCATTTTGATAAATGGTTCAAAAACTTAGCCTTAACTCTTCAATATAGTGGGTTGGTTGCGGCAGATTTGTGGACCAAATAAAAATTGCCACCTTATTTGTGAAGCTTCCACATTGATCAAATTTGAACAATTGAGGAGCAAACTTTATTGAAAAAATGAATAAAGCAAGCATCAACTTAATTATTAAATCTACACTCATTATTTTGATAAAAATTCAAGTGAACATGGATTTTTTTAAGTTTGATTGGTTTCTATAGAGCATATGTGGTGTAAGAAATTGTAGGAGGAAAATGTTTTTTCTTATGTGTAATTACTAGTAGTGTTCAATAGGTTGCACCAGGTCAAGGGAACTCTATTTTTAACAATATTAAGCGTACTATTTGAAGTGTTTCGTGGCTTCTTTCTGAACTTTTAAGTGGTCCCTGCTAAAAACTTTTTGGCCAATGGGGTTGAACACAATAAGTGCTAAAAGATGTATTTTGCTCTTGAATTTGAGGCTATTAAACTGGTTCAGGATATTTATGTTCTCATTTCCTTATTTTGTAGGAATATATAATATATATTTTTTAAACAGTGTTTTGTAGGAAGATTTTAATTTATATTTAAGCCCATTTCTGGTTTTGATCTTCTTAATGTTTTATTTACTTTTCCATTTGAGAATCCCTAGACCTCCCTTTTTGCATCCTTGTTCTCTCCTACTAAATATCATTATTTTTTCTAGATGAAAAAATAAGCGGAATTCGTAGAGTCTTCTTATGTGACAAGTTGGTAGTTGAGCCTGACACTTGCTCGTTTTGGAAGATAACTTCAATTAAGAGCACTTTTTATTTATTTATTATTATCATTTAAATAAAAAAACTATATATTGCGGTTTAGGAGCTCCCATTCAGTGGTTTTTCATGTCTTACGTTTTTAATATGCTATGAATAGTCATAAAACCCTTGGTTGCATCTTATATCAGGTGATGTTGCAAGAGTGAATGGCCAACTGGCTGTTTCTCGTGCTTTTGGTGACAAGAACCTGAAATCACACTTGCGCTCTGATCCTGATGTAAGAGCTGATGATATTGATGCGGATACGGATCTTCTCATCCTTGCGAGCGACGGTTTATGGAAGGTGAACAATTTCCCCACTCTCTGTCTTCAATGATCATCTTCCTGTATGGATACTGGACATACCATTTCCTTTTGTTATTCTGCTTGCAATTAATCCAGGTCATGTCTAATCAAGAGGCAGTAGACATCGCAAAGAAGATTAAGAACCCGCTGAGAGCAGCCAAGCAATTAGCAGCTGAAGCATTGAATAGGGAGAGTAAAGATGACATCTCTTGCGTCGTTGTTCGCTTCAAGGTGTAGAAACAAGAGTTAATCCCAGCATGCAGGATTTGTATATTAGGGAGGTTTCTGGTGCATGGGATGCATTTCTATACACCAACGCAAGTTTTTATAATCTCGTGGACTCCAACATTAGCTTGGAAGTTACTCTGGGGCAGGTTATATATCCCTTCCCATCCTGTAACGTTTGTTTTGCTTCACTCAGGTTGTTCGGTTTGTTATTTGCTTGATTTCTACTGTGTAGATTTATACCATTAGTCTCTCTGTAATTTGCATGGTGACTTCAAAACTGCACTCTTGGCAAACTTACTTTGGTGGTACAGTACAAAATCTTCGTTTGGCTTCTCAGCTGGTTGATCGAACATGCTTTGAGCTTCTGTGGTTAAGGCATTGAGTCATGAAGAACCCATCCATAATCTATGTGGAGTTTTGAGTTATTAGGTTGCATTTTCTTTCCCAATGTAAAACTCTAATTCTTGAATCCGTCAAAATTTTATTTTATTTTATTTTTGTCGACGATGGTAGTGTCAGGCACCTATAATCCACCACCTAGCACACGAGTCCCTCTTCCATTTTTTCCCCCTCTTCTCGACTAGTTTAATAATCTGACGCGAAATTGGCAAATTTTGATACCTTAAGGGAAGGTCTTGTAATATACCATTTACTAGGAGTGAGATAATGGAAAATGCTCTTTGCAATTTTGCATGTTTTGAATAGAAAATATCAGTTTTATAAATGAAAATTTCTGGTGCAAGCTTCCAGAGGATTTGTGTTTGTGCTTTCATTGAAGTGAGATAACCTTAGAAATTGCAAACGAGTGGGATTAACGTTGAGAAATTGGATTGTACAATATATGAGATTCCAAAATTCATTTTATATTTAAAGTGGGATTGACTTATAATCATAGCTTTTGCCTTTACAAAAGGAGAGCCACAGGCACGCTTATTATTTAGTGGGCACCATATGAGACATGGCTCACACCCCTGTGCGAGGCTCGGAGACTTTAACACTTGACCATTCATTTAAATGGAGAGATCGTAACTCTCAAGTAATGCATTTTCATTGGGTGGAGTGGTACTAATTTATCCTTAAATATTTGTGAAAAATATATCACTCTTAAAATTAAAGTTGTGATACTTGCACCAATACAAGTGGAGGACCCTACTTCTTTATTTGCTGTATAAATAGATTGATTAAAAAAAAGTAGGTTTGACAATTTACTCCAACAAATCTGTGCAAGAATTATTTTTCTAAAAATTATGTTGATTTATCAAAAATCTAGTAAATACCATAATAAGGGAAAAAAAAGTGATGATAAAGGTTGTATCAATGGTGGTGTTTGGGGATGCAAAAAAATGGAAACGTGGAGATGGGGATTAAATTTGTCCTGTATGATAATATTGGCACATCTATTAATTACCCTTTTAAGTTTTAACTTATCTTTGATAAGTTTTATTTATTTATTTATTTTTGAATTTTAAGGTTTGTTTGATTTTTAAAAGGAAAAAGTTTTGTTCCAAAGGTATAATCAATTGTGTGAATTTTGGACAAAATTTTTAATATCAACCTAGTGTTCATGTTACTTTGAGCGTGATTAAAATCATGTGGGAACATTTATTTAAAACTTTTAATTTCTTATTGACATAAGTTGACATTGAAAAAATTACAAATGGTTTAAAAAATTCAAAGAACTTACCCCCAAAAAAAATAAAAAAAATCAAAGAACTCTTAAAATTTAAAATCAGTTTCTCTCTATCCATTATTCTGAGATCACGAATAGTAAGATATTGTTTGAAAATAAAAATAAAAATTAAGTGTTAGAAATTGTCACAAAATAGAAAACTAGGAGTCACTCATATGACCACTTCAAAGAGTTAGAGAAAGTATTTTACTAGTTATTTATTTATTTATATTTATATTTTTTATATACTGTACTTAATTGTTCAACCAAAATACGGAGTAGAAAATTACAGTTGTCTCGCGTCACTTCGACGCGCACGCTTTTACATTTCGAGTACTCTCCCACTGATCAAATGCGCAATAAACCCCCCTCTCTTTCTCTCTAAAACCCTTGCAAAACCCTATTCACTCTCCTTTCCGTCTGCTTAGAGAAGATCCACAAATCAATCAAAGATCGTCGTGGATCGCCTGGTTATCATGTCGAAACAGCTGATGATCGGAAAGATCAATTTCTCAAACCCAAAGGTCTTGATCGTGATCGGAATCGGCGTCGCCGGAATCGTGATTCTCGCCGAGACTCAACGACGAAGACGAAGAGCGAGAAATGTAATAAGAGAAGATTTCGGTGCTTTCGTCGAACGCTTCGAGCTCTCTCCCTTTCCTCAGCCGCCCCCTCCTGCGGCTCGACAACCTCTCTCTGGCCTAACATTTGCCATCAAAGACAAGTTCGTGTTACCTAATTTCGTTTCCTATTCATGTATACACTTACTATGTGTATGTATTTGTTGGAATATATTATGTCATTGTTCTATTTATTGGGTTTGATTTTTTGTTTTTTTTTTTGTTTTTGTAGTTTTGATGTGAAGGGTTATGTGACTGGGTTTGGGAATCCGGACTGGAATAGGACGCATGAGGCTGCTGGGAAGACTGCGGTGGTGGTGACGGTTCTGTTGAAGAATGGGGCTACCTGTGTTGGCAAAACTGTCATGGATGAATTCGCTTTTGGGTGTGTTCCTTTCTCCCTCTATGCACACACACACACGCCTACATTGCGCATACATATACATTCTTGTTTATCTCATTTCTAGTATGCTTTTTTTTTTTTTGGTTCATTAAGGAAGAAATATTTGGGTGAGGGGTCAAAGCATCATATTTTGCTCCCAAACTTTCTCACTTTGAGTGAAGAATTCTTTTTTTTTTTTTTTTGATGAAATCGTGAATACTAGTTCATTTGATTGAAAACATGCCTCTAATTTTCATGAATACTTCAGGATAACTGGAGAGAATACACATTATGGTACTCCAACCAACCCACAAATGCCATCCCATATTCCTGGGGGATCATCCAGTGGTTCGGCCGTGGCTGTTGCATCTGAACTTGTTGACTTTGCTCTTGGTATGTGTCTTTCTTTTCGGGTGCAAGTGTTTTGAATTGCAAGGGCTAAATCCTCTTAACTGTTCATGATTGGTTTCGTACACTTTGGATTTTGGTCCTATTTATCGCGAGGTCTGTAAGTTTTTCTTTAGTAGGAATTTTTTGGTTACGTTGTCTTAATTGCACATGTCAAGCTGATGCTCTCCCCATTGTTATCTATTGTGCCCTAAAGGTATGACTGCATAATTCCGTCAACATCCTCTCTCACACACTTATTCTAAGGGTGGGGTTTAAATGCCTAAATAGAACACAGTTTTCTTGCATACAAGGCTCTCGGGTTGAAATTTTGATCGGGCCTTCAACACGGCCTTGATACAATTGCATGGAAACAAACACTTTTTGATGTCGTAGTTGGCTTGAACTCTTCCAAGTGTCGGAAACATTGGTCCTTTTTGTGTCCGTTTTCTAAAAATGGTTTTTAGAAATAGTGAAAACATGGCAGTTTATCAGAGAGCAAAAGTCAGTTCTCTGAAATTTTATTAATGGGTCCATTTGAATGATTTGTAAAGTTAAATTTTGGATTAATTATTGGAGTTAGAATTGCTAAGTAATAGATGAAAATTCAAGCATTTTTCTCTTCCATTGCGAGGCCTATGTTACTGTATATATAATTTTGATTATCTAAGCATCCTTGAAACTTGTTTTTACGTTGGTTGGTGGAAATCATCTAGCATGTGAAATTGTGAATTCTAATGGACCAATTGCTATGGAACTTTTAAGGTATAACAATAGAATGTGATTTTTTTTACCCTCTTTTTTTTAACGGCTTCTTCATGTGGAGATAAAGTACTCCATCTAGACTGTAATTTTTTTTGCCTGGCTAGTTTTATGGGGAGGGTTATCGACCATTCATACCTTAGGATTTCTAGTGATGTGGATCCTAAAGCTACCAATACAAAATTTTCATCCCATATGTGGAGGATGGTTTCCATGTGCGTTTTGGCAGCCTTCTTCTATTCAACTGCTAGTAAACCTATCTTGCTGAACCCAAAGCAGAATCTCTTATTGAGTTGGAATCAATTGAATTTTTTGTATTTTTTATTAAGCCAACAAATCCTCTATTGTTCATATCCTATATAAGAGACAAAGGAGACATATCTTCAATGTCGAGGTTGTTTATTTATTTATTTATTATAATTATAAATTTTTTTTTATTTTTTAAATACTAGATGGTGGTGTAAGATTAATAAAGGTAAATCCTGGAAATATGGTAGCAGGGATCTTACAGGTTAATCCAGTTGTTAGTAGTGGTATCTCCTAAACTACTAGAGGAGGATGTACAGGGTTCAGATCTTTGTTGAGATATGGGTTGCCGTATTATTTATGAAAAAGAAGGGAATAAACACTGAGCGTGGCCATTGTTTAGTTAATTATGTAGCCAATTTGGGATGATGTGCTAATGTGTTTGGCTGGACTTGATGACATCTAGTATGGGACCATGTTAGAATGGGATGTGATAGTTTGTTGACTCTGTTTTTATATTGGATATGTCAAACATTGAGAAAGGTTAACACTTTAGCTGATGCTCTGGCAAATAAGGGCTGGATATTACTTCAGGAATTTACTATATGTAGCTTCCTTTGCTTCTGCTTGATAGCGTACTGGTATTAATATGGTGGGGATGGCTTTGCCATGTCAGTTTCCCTTGCTTTTGAAAATTAAAGGCTGCGATTTAAAGGCAAATAATAATACGCAACAGCTGAAAATTGATTTAAGATTTAGGTTAACATTTTAAAAATTGTCCTAATTACTGCGTTGTTACGAGACAATCCGGAAACCTACCTTTTGGGTACTCTTGGAAATTTAGCTGGTTCATAAGAGGGAAAAGAAAGAGAGCCAGAAGAAAGTAGCAGACTTTGATGAAGTATGAACCTATGTGGTTTAAATTGGGGCTTTGATTCCTCATCGAAGACCATCAATATCAAATGATTTGAGTACAATATTGAGGTATTATCATTGAGATTTTGAAAGGGATGATAATAACTCTCCTCAAATGGTATTTACTCTTTCAACTGGCAAAATATGTGGGCAGAAAAATAGTGTTAAAATTAGAATCGTGTTACTTTCATAGCCTTGTAAAGGCTCTAGTTCTTTCTTATTAAAATATGAAACATCTCAATATTTTTAGGTATTTTTACTTTTGATTATGTATTGCAATTGTTTATCTTTGATAATTTTGCAGGTACTGATACAACTGGATGTGTTAGGACCCCGGCGTCATTTTGTGGAGTTCTTGGATTCCGACCGTCTCATGGCCTTGTATCTACAATTGGAGTTCTGTCAAATTCACAAAGTTTAGATACTGTTGGTATGCAATATGATGCTGCACTATATTTCTACAAGAAACCCCTTTTTTTTTCCTTTCCCAATTGAGTCTCTTAAGAGAAATCCTGCAGCTGTAGGTTCCCTATATGCTGTAAATTATAATTGTGCGCATCCACATGCCAAAGTCCTAGTTCCCTAATGATGATATAGAATGCATGTGTTAATAACTTTACAGTTGGATTTTACTGGTGAGACTGAAGTTGAAGTATATATGAACTGAGCTAGCTAACTTCATATCATATCTTGAAGTATGGCTGCTTCAAATAATAGATATATTTATTATTGGTTAAATGTCTTACTAGTGCCTGAAATGTTTGCGACTTCCTATTATCTGCTTGTTTTATGTTATTTTTTTTATGATATTTTGTATATAAAAATTGTTTGATTAATGTATTTATGATATTTCCTACATGATAATGGCAATATTTCAGGATGGTTTGCCCGTGATCCATCTATTTTGCATCGTGTTGGACACATTCTGCTTCAATTGAACTCGGTGGAACCTAGAAGGACGAGACGCTTCGTTGTAGCTGATGATCTCTTCCAGTTGTCTAAGGTTCCCAAGCAGAAGACTGTACATGTTATTAGCAGAGTAGCTGAAACTTTATCTGGCTGTAAGTTGCAGATCTACGTTATTCTCTGTCACGGTTCATTCTTCAGTTGCATGTTTTCTTCTTAATGATTTGTTTCTATGGTCTTAGTTTGTCCTAATGTGATCACTGTGTTTTGGCCAGGAAAAAAACGATCGCAATATTGTTGAAATTTATCTTTTTTTGTTTCATTCATTCTGCAGACCAGCCACCGAAGTATATGAATTTTGCTCAGTATATTGCTTCAAATGTGCCCAGCCTAAAAAGCTTCCGTGAACAATCAACTAATCTGCAAACTGCAGTATCTACTTTAAAAGCTCTCTCTTCTGTGATGTTCTTACTACAGAGGTATTTTACAATGATCTATTGTTAACTTCATTCATGGGATTTCAAAATGGTAGAACTGATTTATTAAAAAGTCGGAAATTAGGTATTTTGAAATTTTAAAATGATACATTTTCCAATGATTTGTTAAAGGTAGAAATAAGATCTTTGAGAGGGAGAGGGCTTGTTTTTGCACTTTGATCTTATATCCACGGGGATAGTTTATTAAAAACATCAGCTCAAATTCCAGTTACTTCTAGGAGTTCTGAGGTTTTTGTCTTGGTGAACTTAATGCAAACATGAACTACGATTGGGGCCATTGTGTTTCATCACCATGATAGTTTCCTAGGTGCAATGAAACCGTAAATTTAATCTTTGGGCAGGGGCCATAATAAGGTGAGTGACGACAAGTAATTGTATGTGTGACGATGGTAACATGGCTATTGTTAAATTTTAGGTTTTGTTGAATCATAGTTGTTGTCAATTTTTTTCTTTTTATTGGTAGAATAATGACTCAGCAAGACATGCTTATTAATACGTACTTACTAGATTATGATCAATACTTCTTGGAAGCTTATTATTATGTCATGGACAAATCTTGTGTGTAACATGACTTCATTTTAGCATGGAACTCTAATTATGAAGAAAAGCAAATTAAAGGTTTGGCTAAAATTTAGTATTAAAAAGTTTGAAAATAAAGATAAAGATTATGTCATGGGAAAAGGTTCTATTAAATAAGTAGGCATGGGAGTAGTGGTCAACACAACTATGTTTATGTATACACATACCACTACATAATAAACAAACATGCCTGTACATACATAGACAAACATTCCTGTACATACATAGGCATACGTGCATGGCCAAAAATGAGTACCTATTGATATATTATAATTACATATCACAGAGTATGGTTTGTTATATATACTATAATCCATTCTATAGAAAATATATATATTTTTTCCGTGTTCATGCTCCACTTTTTCAAGATTTACTAGAAGCATATAACATATATTAAGGGAAATCAACTAAGGCAACTCGTTGGTGATAGGGAGTATGTTATCAACTTGCTTTGCAGCTGAAAAAAAAAATCCGACCAACCCACACTCACAAACAGAGCTATGCATTTTATATACTTTAGTGGATTGTACTTCCTTTTTTATTATCATTCTGAATTATGTTTCAAGTGTTTCATTGTCCTTTTTTTTTTCCCCCTTTCTTTCTTTCTTTCTTTCTTTTCTTTCCCCTTTTTAGAGTAATTACCTTCTCAAATGTAGATTACCTTTTTTGGTTTTCCTTGACCCTACCTTCTTGCACAGAAAGTTCACCCATAAGGCTTAAACTGAACTCAGAGCCTAGATAAGAAGCATGTAATTCACTTGTTTGTGAGCCTCTTTCAGTTTTTATGTCCTTTAAAGTACAATTCAGTAATATGCTTCTGATAGTCTAAAGTTAAAAAATTTGAACTTATGGTTCCATACGTTGACATTTTAACTTTAAATTGTCCCCCCCCCCCCCCCCCCCCAACAGATAAAGCTTTCCATTTAGACCTTGGCTTCACTCTGATAAACATCTATGTCATTAACTACCTTACAGGTATGAATTCAAAACAAGCCATGAAGAATGGGTTAAATCAATCGAACCCAGGTTAGGACCTGATGTCTATGATCGTGTTCGTGCTGCATTCACTACTGCGTATGAGAACATTAAAACTTTATATAAAGTTAGAAACGAAATGCGAGCAGCGCTTCATAGTCTTCTGAAGGTGACCTTAACTTTTCATTTACTACTTGTCATAAGTAAGAATGCTGAACTCTAATTATATTAGAGTTCGTTGGGTAAGTAATTTTATAGTTTTTGTTGTAATAGTACCTTAAGTGATTATGACTTAAAGTTTTGGTAGAGAAATACATGTTTTAGAGCTGGGAAGGATATGTCCATATTTGATGCAGCTGAGGTCTTTAATTGATCAAGCATTTTATGTTTATTAGAGCAAAAAATTATTTTTAAGACTACAGCTAATAGGTGCAGATCAATATTTTCTAAAAGGTTTATTAACCAGCAAAAAAGGTGTGTATAAAAGGCTTAAATGTCTCATATTACCCCAATAGTGGTAAACTCCATATAATTTGAAAAAGGAACTCCACATATTAGGACAATTTCACGGAAGTTATGCCTTGCCACATAAATCATTTAGAATCCATGTTGCCAGACGGTGAAAACCAAGAAAAACCTGTACATAGTGGTGGGACAGAAGAATATGAAATGGAGGTAGATTTTGGTTCGAGAATGGTAAATGGCTATCATTGAAATGTTCAAAGTTTGGGTCATGTAGAAAGTGTCCAAAAACATATATGAGAGGTCTTATTTTTTTGGTATGAAAGTAGGCAACTTTGTTTTAAAGCATAATTCACCATGTTACAGCATATGATATAAGTAAAATATCCTGTTTACCCAGGTTTTTGACTTTTGTCCCTGTTAATTGGTATACAAGCTGCTGGTCACATTGCTGATTGATCTCTTTTGTGAGCTGGATTAAACTGTCCAAACAATTTGCTGACGTTTTTGGTGTTGCTTCATTTGGTTGACCAATAACCACTAATATCAACCAACCACCCCCCCCAAACACACAATTTTATTGGCTCATATTCCTATCTTTAATAAACATAGCGTTTGAACTACTTATTTTATCCTTTATAATTCTAAAGCCACATGTGCTGTTCTGATGACAAATTTAACTTAATAATCATGCTTTTGTTTTTCCCTTATTTCTTTTGTTTGGACCTGAAAGAATTCATATTAATAAATGCTGTATCTGTAAAGTTCTCTTAGCCAATAGTTGTGAACTTGATTAGTACCTCCAACCACCCCCTAAGGAGGAGGTGAAAGGTTGAAGTCCTGGCGTGGACGGGGATGCATGTTGGACTCATCAAAGAAAAGAAGAGTTCTTTCATCATTTCCATTACATGTTAGGACTCTTTTAAAGTAACCATCAGATATTATGTTCCCTGGTACATTTTTTTGAGTAATTGAGTTCTCAAGGAAAATTTTGAAGTTGAACTATTCAATTAAGACATATTTATAGCCTTTTTGACTTAGAAGGGCTTGTTTCCTATGGTTGGGAAAGATTTATTAGGTTATTTTCATTAGAAAAGAATAATGGCCAAGGGGAAAATCTAATGATGGGCCAACTTTAACAAATGAAACAAAATGTGTAAATACTTGATTTGCAGATTTTTCTATATATGGTGAATTCTGAATACCTTATGGTCCTTACCAAGAGTTTGAAAATCCAATTCTAATGGAAAAGGGGATTTCAAATATTATGGGGTTTGGAGTTGTGCATTATTCTGTGTAACAGTACTCTCAAAATTGTGACTGAATATTCTGGATAAATATGAACTTGCTGCCAGTGATATTGTTGAAGTCTAATGGCTGGATTGAATTTTAGCTATGGAATTGTTAGGGGGCTTGCTTGATTTATGGTGTTCTAGGGTTGAATGGATAAATAGGATGGGTTGAATTTTGAAGATAAACCAGCTACTGTCCTACTAGTGGTGCAGTAGGGCAGTCAGTTACTGAAATTTATGATCTGAAGTTCCTTTAATTCCTTAATTCATATAAGGGTAAACTACAATGACCTCCCCTAAGGTTTGACCTAATTGCAAATAAACCTGAGGTTTGCATATTTTTTGCAATGTGTCCCCCTGAGGTTTGCCCCATTTTGCAAAGACCTCCTCTCTGTACAAAAAATAATATTTCTTGTCAGAAAATTAATTTGAAGTGACCAAAATGCCCATTGACTAAATAGAAAAGACTCTAATATCCTTACAGGTCTTCAAATTAAAAAATATTTATATTTCAACGGACAAAAATACCCTTCTCTATATATATATTACATATGTATATATGCTGATGGGTGGTGGTGATGGTTGGTGGCGGTGGAGAGGAGAGAGGAATAGTGGGAAAAAAATTATTGGATATAAATTAATGGGTAAAAGAGTCATTTTATATTTTTAGATATTTTGTTCATTTTAATAATAAAATAATGAGGGTATATGAGTAAATTCATAGCAAAATCTGACATAGGGGTGTCTTTGTAAAAAAATGGCAAACCTCAAGTTTATTTTCAATTAGACCAAACCTCAGGGGAGGTCGTTGTAGTTTGCCCGTCATATAATGCATACCCCTTGAGGAGTTTAGATTTGTGGCATTTGGTCCACATAACAAGCCAAGTTGACATAGTCCCTCGGAAATTGCATGAAGAAAAGTTGATCTTTGTGGCCTTCAATTGGTCATTTTGATCCCTCAGTTCTATAGTGTGTTTTGCTCTATCTTATTGCAATTATCACTTTTTATGTAACTTTAGTCAACTTTGTTTATTTTACTTTTACCAATGTTTGGTTGTATCTTATGGTCCATTGTCCCTTCTCTCATTGTTATAGGATGATGGAATATTAGTAATTCCCACAGTTGCTGATCCTCCTTTAAAACTTAAGTCAAAGAGAGGTCTGTCTGCTGAGTTCCATGACAGAGCATTTGGTCTATTGAGCATTGCTAGTATGTCAGGCTGCTGTCAGGTAATTAATATTGTCTGGCTTCGGCTTTCATTTATTTTGGTTTCTTTAGCCTGGTTTGCTATATATATATATATCTATATAATATAATAGCCCACCACTTTTTATTGACATCTTATTATTTGACTTGTCATTACAGGTTACCATTCCCCTAGGCAAGCATAATGATTGTCCAATCTCTGTTTCTTTTATTGCATTCCATCGAGGTGATAAATTTCTCCTTGATACCGTCTTGGATATGTATTCATCTCTTCAAGAGCAAGCTAGCCTTGTTTCTAGTTCATTACCATTGCCAGAAATTAATGGTGACATGGGTGCTTCTGAACTGTTAAAAGAAAAGGTTTATTCTTCAAGCCTTTTTGTGATTATGACCGCGTTAAAGATTAATGGCCTCATTTCATATATGTTTTTCTTATTCCATTTTAATCTTGTCAATATCTGATCAAATTCCTACATGTTACTGCTATCGTCTTGCTTGTATTGCATCTTGCAACTGCCTTATGTGTAAAGTAGTGTGTTCCTTTATACCTGATGATTAATGAGGCTTTCAGTCATGCTCGTGCACCTATCCAACTAATTTGTACACATCCTAAAATTCTCAGTAAATTTTTGTTGTCAGTCTTATTTTTTGGAAAATAGCAGGTTCGAGTTTTGTCTAACTTCTGTTGACACTAGGTTTCCAAAAACTCTTTCATGGTCACAGTTCTGTCATCAAATTTTACTAAAAGATGATATAAAATTTCTATTATCCTGACAAATATTGTTGCAGGGAAATGCTGCCTATAAAGGAAGAGAGTGGAATAAGGCTGTCAGTTACTACGGTGAAGCTATAAAGTTGAATGAGACAAACACAACTTACTACTGCAACCGGGCAGCTGCTTACTTAGAATTAGGATGGTATGATATTTAATCTGCTTTGTTTTTTGATGATCTTAATCCTTTGTTGCCTTGCATCCAATGGTTTGCTCTAAACCCTTATTTCATTCCTTGCAGCTTTCAAGAAGCTGAAAAGGACTGCGATAAAGCAATATCACTTGATAAGAAGGTCAGGGACCATGCTAGTATTCATTCACTACGCATATAATGCTTTATTCAAATTTTGCATCATTCTTATTGATTAATTTGCTTTCTTTTGGTCTAATTGTCTTTTCTAATGTGGATCTTATTGAGTGCTGATTTCAATAGTTTTCTTATTAGGAATTATAATCTGCACATACTTTTAAAAGAAGTGGAAAAGTTTATGCTAACAATTTCGGAAATAGTATACGTAGAAAAATATATGCTAATACTTCAGAAAATAATATATGTAATTTAAAATATCAATTTCCTTATTAAATGAAGTTTCAGTATGTCAGAAATGCGTTTTTCCATGTCTAACAAAAAAATCATCTGCTTCTCATATTCCGTGTAGGGATGGCAACCGGGCAGGTACGGGATGGGCTAGCCTAAGCTCTAACCTGCTCCGTGAAGGAAAAACCCTATCCCATCCCCGTCCTGAACCCTTGACAGTTCAAAGCTCAACCCCATGTGAGAGATATATGTTATATATACTTGATGGCAAAAGGGTATATGATGTATATACCCGCCCATAACCCTACTCGAGTTTGAAGTTTTTTTTTTTATTTTTAACCATACCCGCTCCTAACCCTATAAAAAATGTCCCATACCTGTTATAATTGGGGTTGGAAGGGGCGCAAACTTGTCAGGTTGGATTAAATTGTCTTCCCTAGTTCCGTGAATAGTAGGGATTGAGGAAATATTGAGAAAAGCACCAACAGGCCTGTGACCTAGCGGTACAAGGCTTCTACTTCCCAAAGGGAGGTCAGGGGTTCGAACCTCAGTGGAGGCAATGTGTGTGAGTCCCAACTAAGGAAAAAAAATATATATATATTGAGAAAAGCATTTCGGGAATCGGTCTTGGTCTTACTTGGATATAGCTTTGATAATACATCTATTGATTGCATTGGTGAAGTGTAGACAAGCTTACAATTTCCAAGGAGTTCTGCTTTCTGCTAAGAACTATCCATATTCCTTTAATAATCAAAGAATGTAATATTACTTCACTTGCATTAGGCTCTGTTTGTTTGGACGTAAAATAAAATGTTTTTTATTTTTATTTTTCGGTGTTTGACAACGGTTCATAAAATATTTTTTAGATCAGCTTTTGTGCACAATTAACTCTTTTTCTTCAGTGTTACCAACAGGGAATAATATCCACAATTAACTCTCTCTCTCTCTCTTTTTTTTTTTTTTTTTCAGTTTTCCTCACCAACAACAAATAGTACCCCATAAACCATCCCCATCTCTCCTCGTTTCTCTCTGTCTACGCTAAACCATCCCTCCCTCTCCTTCTCGTTACTTTCTATCTCCACTCTCTCTCTCTCTCTCTCTAACATGCTCTCGACCCAATTGTGTTCCTCGACCAACTCAAATTTGTGTCCCTCTTTCTCTCTCCTTTCTCCTATCTTTCTCTCTTCTCTCACTCAATGTATATAATATAGAGAGAGAAGATTGGGAGGACTGAAAACAATTAGTTGTTAGAAGGACATAGGGGTTCAATAAGAATATGGATGGTTAGATGACCTAAGGTAGCATTTGGAAAATGACTTACGGAAATTTTTTAGGTCAGTCATTTGGGAGTAAAATTATTTATATGGAAAATAATTTCCTAACCTTGGAGTCTTCCAAACACCGAAAAATGGGGAAAATGGTTTTCGAAAAATATTTTACGGTGAAACAAACGGAGACTTAATGTACGAAGGTAATAGAATCATAAGCTTCACGCAGATGTCGTACTGAAATCCGTGAAAGGTAATCAATGCAAGTTTTGCATCACAAAGAAGCAACTAAATATATAGTTGTTTTTTTTCCCTTCCTTCCTTCCTTCCTAGTTGGTACTCACACACACATGCCTCCACCAAGGTTCGAACCCCTTACTTCCTTTGGGAAGTAGGGGCCTGGTACCGCTAGACCACTGGCCCGTTAGTAAATTTATAGTTATTGATAAATGAGAATTTAATTAAGATCTTATGAACTTTTCTTTCACTTCTTTCTGGATAAGGTTTAGATCATAAGAACTTCTATTCATTGATTTGAGGACTTCATTTCTAAAGCTTTCATCGCGGTCATTGATACTCTAATATTTTCCTCTAAATGCAGTATAGATTAGAAAAAATTTCTGTTTTCTCTATTATGGTTGTCTGGGATTTTATTGCCTCTGACTTGCACCCAACAAAGTTTCTTGTATTCCCAGCAAAGCCTCTAAGGCTTCATTTGTTTGAGCATAAAACATTTTCTGAAAGACATTTTTTGTGTTTTCCTGTGTTTGGTAGTCCCAAATTCAAAGAAAATCTTTTACGAAGGAAAATAATTTCCCAAAATTAACCAAAGCAACTTACTAATTAATCCTCCGAAAATCATTTTCCGAGCCTATCAATTTCACTCTTGATCTCCTCAACAAAAGCATATGGCATCGAAAACGTCAATCAAGTATGTGGAAAAGTTACACAGTGACCAAAAAGCAGTCTAGAGAGAGAGAATTTAGAGAGACAAAGAGTGTCTAGAGAGAGAAAGAAATGAGCCATTTAATAAAGAGATAGTTTTTAGAGAGAAATAGAGGAGTCCTTTTACATGTGCGATAGTTACCGGAAACAAAACAACTGTTAAGAAAGAGCCAATAGGCCCAATAGCTATTATGGGGCGAGAGGTACGAGTCCAATCTCTTCCTTAACAACAACAATCATACAATTTCCTAATTTTGATTTCTTCAATGTAGAATATTTTCAAAACTTTTTCCAAACACCGGAAAATAAAAAATAAAGAAAACATTCTACATGAAAAAGTGTTACATAGAAAATATTTTACGCCCAAACAAATGGAGCCTAAGTGAAACAAATTTTGCCAGAAAAGGGGCAATTGGTCAAAAGACATTCTACTCTTTATTAGACATTGACATTGACTTTAACTGACTATTCATTTTTATATCAGCTGGTCAATTGTAAATCTTACTGAGGCTTGTCCAGACAAACAGGAAAATTAGTCGGAACTAGGGAGTTCATTTTAGTTTAGCTGAAGAAGATGGTGGATTTTTGAATGGACAGACTAAAACCTTTTTTTTTCTTTTTCCTAGTTGGTACTCACACACACGTCTCTTCTGAGACTTGAACCCCTAACCTCCCTTTGAGAGGTAAGAGGCCGATACCGCTAGGCCACTAGCTTGTTGGATTTATGAATGGACAGACTAAAACTCTCTCAGGCTTTCGAGCTGGCCTCCTCTGGCCGACCTCAACGGCTCGACATGGATTATTGGATTATACATGCTGCTGTCCATTTTTTTTCCCTTCCTGTGGAAACAGGGGATCACTTAATGCCATCAGCTGAAGATGCTACCTAATCATCTACCTTTGCTAGTTATCCTAGGTAATTGTTGGTCTATTCTGTAAGGTATTGAATTTCTCCATGACATTGGGTGATTCAGTTATTTTTTTAATTGTGGACGGAATTGTTTAATGTTGTAATTGCTCCGTAAGAATATTCAGTTCTACCGCAGCAATTTTGTAGGAGTCTGGAACTAAAATTATATTGAATGCAAGGACGAATACGTTCTGTACTGACATCAACACTAATGATGTTCTGTGTTTATATTGTTCTCTTTACTGCATAGACGATCTTTTGTGTATGTGTACACTGTACACGTATCTACTAATGGAAGCATGGCTTTCGACACATTTATATGGTTGAATAAGAATTATATATATATATTAGGCAATTATAGAAGATGAAATGTGTGCTTGCGTGTACACACTCATCTCCACTGAATATCTTAGTAATGGTGTGAAGAATGTTCTATTTCTGTGTGTAGAATGTGAAGGCATATCTAAGACGAGGTACGGCAAGAGAATCACTCCTCTTCTATAAAGAAGCTCTTCAAGGTGAGATTCTTGGTAGCACATATGTTTAGTGTGTCTTTAAAACTTTATTATATGTCTCCTATGTACAATTGGGTTCATCATCATCTCTTTTTAAATCCTATATGAGATCTGCGTGTATCCCCATCTACTTCCTTTGGAAGGTTCTTGATTCTAATAGAAGATACATGTCGCCTTTTTGCTTTTTTTGTTTTTCCATGTTGCTATTTTTTGCTAAATCATCAATATTTGTCCAGAAATTCTTTGTGACTCTTCTGCTAGGCACCTTTGTTGGAAGCTGGAATTTGGAAAATGACACTACTCCAGTAATCAAATAAAGATTTAGAATCACCAGGGGCTGTGTAGCCTACTGGTATCTCCTCACCTTCCAAAGTAGAAGGTCGAGGGTTCAAGTAATCAAATAAGGATTTAGAATCACCTAGGGCTGACACTATTGTGTGTCGTTTGCATTGATGGTTTTTGTAAAGATCTATCTGGAGTTTGAGTGGACATAGCATAGGGGCAACCTAAATTCCCTGGTTGCTTCAATTTGTGTGGAGCAGATGAGAATTTTCATGTCTGACACTTCGATTTCTAGTTAAGGGTTTGGAATTGAATCATTAAAGTATCCAAATCTTTTTCTTCCAGGCCCTGCAGTGAACAAAAGTGATTTTGTAGCACAGCAAAGGCAGTTTACTAAACGTATTATTATTTTTAAAGCAGTTCATCAACCGTCTTGAAAGATCACTGTGATGTCGAACTAAAGCATTAAAGCAATCAATGTCCAAAATTTTTCATCCAAACCCTGGATTAAACCGAAGTGAGTTTGTAACATACCATATATGATGAAACTAATTATGTCTTGAAATATCCATATGACGTTGGGAACTGGTTAAGTTCCACTAAATTGATAAGTGGTGTGATATCTAGTACTGTACAAGTTTGTGTTATATTCTCAAATTGTATTCCCAGCCAATGTGATGTAATTTGCCTACTCTTACATCAGGTTTTATATGACCTTGTATTTTTTTTAAGTCATGCCAACATATTTTTCTATTGTTATTTGCAGATTTTAAGCATGCTCTTGTTCTAGAACCACAAAATAAAGTTGCCAATTCCGCTGAGAAGAGACTAAGGAAACTGATTAGTTAATTCTCTCTCTCCAAAACATGTCCGTGTTATATGAGTTTTTGAAAGGAAAGTACCAAGGTACCACCTTGTTAATATTATGAAACTTTGAAGGGAAAGAAGGAAAAAGCAAACAAGAAGTGATAGATTGAAGGCTACTGCATTCCTATGTTTTTTCTTCAATTTTTGTTTACCCTTCTCGAAATTTTTTGTACATGTTTCTTTTGTGACGGTATGGTACTACTATGTAATTTATGCAATGTTTTGCAAATATTCTGTAACTGAACTTTAAATTATGCCAGCGGCTAATGGCACATTTCAGTCTTTTCTCTCTCTGGGCAAGTGGTGAGAGCACTCTGTAAAAGCTTTTATTGCCCTGTTACATATTTCCTATTATCATGGTCAGATCACTCCGAAGATGCTGAGAAACTTCAGTTGGGTTTGAGAAGAATTTTAATTCCTTTTATTTACAATTAGTTCGGAGTATTTGTGATCTTCTCACTGTTGTCAGTTTTCCGATGATCCAGCAAATAATATCACACCAAGTGTGAAGGTTTTCTGTTTTCTGATATTAGCTTATTTACTTGTTAAAAATATACCAACATATTCTTTAGTTTGTTGGGTTTTATCCATTTTCACTCCCAACCACGAATGATATACGTATGGCTTCTCTTCAGCATCTTTTGTCTCCCTTTTAGGGATGATTTTCATAATATTCTTTGTCAGAAGTAAAAGAAAAATGTTTACATGAATTGAAAGAACATTCTTCAATCAACCCAAATTTCATTTCTTTTCCATTTGTACAGAAATGAGAAAATTCTTTAGCTTCACAGCCTCAAGGGATTTGCTCTACCGCTATTTTTTTTGCCTACACCGGCCTCCGGTCCGTCTCCACCGACCTCGGCGACGGCACCATCATCCATTGCTGAGTACCCACAGCCCGCACACAAACCAAACCCACTCCTCCTTCACAGCTTTGGAGCCAATGCCACATGGCAATACTCCGATGACATTTCAACGTCTACGTGCCGGACCTGCTCTTCTTTGGCCGCTCGTACGCAACCAGGCCAGAGCGGAGCGAGTGGTTCCAGGCTTGGTGTTTGATCAAACTGATGGAGGCGCATGGGGTAAGAAAGATTAGCCTGGTTGGGATCAGCTATGGTGAGTTTGTGGTGGCGCAGTTGCCAGATGCGGTGGAGCTGGTGGTGCAGTGTTGTAGTGGGGTGTGCTTGGAGGAGAGGGACATGACTAAGGGTCTGTTTCGGGTGTCGGATTTGGAAGAGGCGCAGACCCCGGAGAAGCTCAGAAAATTGATGCAAGTCCTTCTCCCTCCCTCCCTGTATATCTGGAATACTTAGAACGAACATTCAAATTGAGAAGGCTGATACATTCAGAGTATAGAAATCCTTGGACTAACATTCTGAGTTAGATTGTCAAGTCTGAGAATTATTATTCATTTGTGTGTGTGTGTGGAGTAATAACGTAGGCTTTGTGGCAATCTTATATGCATGCATACACTGAAATCAATGATTATAATGATGTCTGACTAATTGAATGTTACTCCGTTTGCTAATCTCACATTTTCTTTGGAATAATTACACATTTGTACCAATGGGGTATTATACTAAATCATATGAGCTCTGCTCTCCAAACGAAAGGTAAGTTTTCAAGGCTGGGGTAATATTGGAAGTGTGTTGCTTGAACTTTTGAAAAAAACAAAAGTAACACTTACGTTATGTTTGGAAGCATTGAATTGGTGGTCTGATTTTGGAATTAGAAAAAGCACTTATTCCCAAAAGCAACAATGTTTGTTCTATTAAATTCTCTAATAAATTGATATTTGGCGAATGCTTACAAATTATCCCATAGTGTGAATTAAACCTAAAAAGAGGGGGAAAAAAAAAAAACTCTTAGGATACTTAATTTGAACCAAATTATGAAAGCGTTATCCCTTAATTCTTCAATTAATATAACTCTAGATTTATGTGTTTATCTCTTTAATATTATTACTTTGCCAATCTTCTGCAAGAATGCAGGGCATGCTCTCAACTTGGAGAAGCCTACGGAATTCATCAAGCACTTGAAAGCATTTCTTTTTTATTCACAACGATTTTCTTCTAAAATAGATAAAAAAAATAGCTAATATATCAGCACATTGTTGCACGTAATGCTATTTCTAATGGTCTTGTCTCTTGTTAGTGGTAGCAAAAGAAAGGACAGGTGAGTCACTAATGCCTCTAATTTGTTTAGCAAATTGGGCATATATTCAATTTTTTAATTTTCTGATTAGTAATATTAGGAAAAAAAAAAACATAATATTTCGAGTATTTATATGTGGTATGGTACCATTGGCCCAATAAACATTTATAAAAACTCTCTATTTACTCAGCAGAAATTATGACTAAATATGAATAAATATTTATACTCGAGGTTTTATATAATACTCTCTCGTTCATCTACAAATGATCAAAGATTGAATTATTTATCGATAAAAAACTGAAAAAAGTAATGATTCAATGACTTGATTTACGAACATTTCCAAGCGACCAAGCTCTTGTTTCCAATGCACGGCGTTCACATTACCATTTTGTTCATAGAACTTTCCAGTATTATGTGTTGTGGTCCCATGGAGTTACATGTGAAGCTTAACCAATTTTATTTATTTAATTATTAATATTATTTTTTATTTTAAAAAAGATGGTCTGTGTAAACCGTGTGGAAGCAAAAAGTTCCCTTCTAGACTGTGTGGAAGCAACATCTACACTCTCATTCTATACTTTCACAAAGTGTAGTGCCATATCAGCAATTATGGAGACACGTAACTGAACATTTTTTGAAGATTTATTTCTCGCATATTTCTTTTATATTATGTACTTATTTATTTTATTATTTTAAAATTTGTCCACATACTACTCATACACCATCAATTTATTTTGTAATATTAAAAGTACACAAAAGGCCCACTATTTCAAACGTAAAATCACTACTTGACTCTACACATTTGGAAAATTTGAGTGTAGAATATCAAGAGAGAACCACAAGTGTAGGATGCGCACAACAGAGACCTTGGTTTGTTACAGGCTGAGATAATATCCAAATAGGCCTGCGCTGGATGCTCTTAATGAGCTCCAGCACGCTCTCCATGAATTTTGGGAATTCTGCAAAAAGTAGAGCTGAGTAATTTAGTGAGCACAAGTACTTGATGTCTAATTGCAAAAGAGGACTTTTTCTTTTTGGTAAATTCAATTTAGGGTGAAGTATAATACGCCTTGAGATTTGCTAAAAAAACGTTCAGATAAAATTTAATTTATTTTGATACAAAAACACTCCCTCAAGTTTGATATAATTATCAAATATACTTTAATAGTAATAAATTAATATTTTTACTTTTTGACTTTTATATTAACCTATTTGAATATTAAAATTATCTTTCTAACCTCTATATTTTTAGATATATTTATTTATTTATCTCTCAATAATTTGTATATACACATATATAATCACCGGAGAGGACGACGCGTCCCTTACCTCGGTGTCTTCTTCACCCCACAACGGAGGAGAAGGACGGTTGTGTTGGACACGCCAAAGTCGCACGTCGATAAGAACCCGCCGACGGTTGTGGCTTACTCCTTGCCGACTCATTATTCTTTTACAGAGCTTCGACGAGTCCATGGCAGAGAGCTTCGCCGACGACCGTGGCCCACTCCTTGCCGACACATGATCTTCTGCAAAGCTCCATCTATTCCATTACAGAGAGCTCTGCCGACTCTAAATCCTTCGAATCCGACGAGGTTGACCCTAGATTCGCAGCCCACCTTCGATTCCATCGACCCATAGAGCCCCATAGTCGCCGATGAGATAAGTGCGGCGATGGTGAATGGATATTGTCGCCGTCGTCGCTGCATATTGCCAGCCACCATAACATCGCTGCCGCAAATCGCCGCCAAACTGCTCTCTCTCTCTTGCGAAGGTGACTGTAACAGCTAACTGGCAATTTCGAACTCCGGCAAGTCACAACAAAATCTGGCCAACAGAATCCTCATCTCCATTCCAAAATCGAAGCTCTTATCTTCAACGATGTGCCCTCTGTTTTATTTATTTATTTATTTTTGTAATTTATGTGATGAGATTGTAGTTAATTTGTATTTGTTTCAATTATTTATTTTGTTAGGTATTAATTTTCAATGATATTGAACTGTGCGAATCGATTCGTTCGATGAGGACAATCTGCATATCATTGCTGGAATCGATGGGGTCGGCGGAATCCATTGAGCCCATAGTTGTCGATGAGGTGAGTGCAGCGACTGTGACGATAGTGAGTAAGTGAGGGTTGTGGTGTTGATTTTACTGTGGGTAATGAGTTAATGATGGTGGTTGTGAGGGTGGAGATGGGATGGTGGTGGTATTGGTGCTAGATCATGTCGGAATACGCAGGTGTGGTTGTTGGGGGTAGAGATGGCGGTGGTGGTTTGGGGGTGGGGGCTGGTAAGTGGTTGTGGATTTTGGTGCGGTGGCAGCGCGTTGTAGGGTTGTAGGATTGATTGGGCGATGAGGGTAATTTGGTTATTTAAGTAATTTGATATTTTATAATTAAAATTAATAAAATAATGAAGAATAAAATAGACTTGTCATATGTTTTGAGGTTTTGTTTGGGCCACAAGTTTTAAAGGGAGTGTGATTGTCTAAAAATAACTAAACTTTCATCTATTGTCTTTACTCGAAGCTTCAGGATGTCTCTGTAGTTTACCAATTTATTAGAACAAAAAGGAATATAGAAAGAGGCATAAGCCAACAGCTCACTTACAACACCAAATCCAACACAACAATGATTCAAAAATCACACAAAACACACATACACCAACTTAAATACGTACAAAAGTCTTCTTTAGCAATTCACCAAGCTTGCAGATGAAAACTCGCCAAGCTTATGAGCCTTCGGTGCAATAATAAAATTGTTTTATTGTGCATAAGTCATCAATTCAAAACAGAAGTAATCTTTTCGCGTACTAAACTAAAAATAGTTCATACAAATGCCTCTTTGGCCATATTTGTAATGACCATAATAAGTGTGATCTTAAATTCTACCGTATGATGTTGCTCTGACATTATGTGATGAAGCTCACGATTTCATCTGTATACAAAACATTTGACATTTTTCGGATACAGAAAATGCTATTATTTTTATAAATAATAATAAATAAATAAAAGTATTACAAGACATACTACACTAACCATCACACGTTACATAAAATAATAAGTCAAAACAGGCCTGCCTAATTAATTAATAATTAGGAAAATGAATCCTGGTGCTAACTTGTAGTAAAAACAAACATGGGGCTTAAAACCGCAATACTTGTATGTGTGTTGTTGACCCAACTATGTATGTAGTAGCACATAGTAGCACTAGTTTCTACGCAACCAACGTGGTAGCACACCATTTCCTACGCAGCAATACATGAAAAGTCTTACCTTCCTAAAATAAAAATAAAAAAAATACATGAAAAGTCTTGAATGGTCCAAACTCCACCAATATATTTTGTCCTTATTTATCACAAATATCCCCACAACATGTGCTAGTCATCGTCTATACGTTATTATTGTATTATTGTATAGCAGCACGATACTCTGCCATCAAACAGACAGTTATGTAAAGAGCATCTACATGTGTGAGTTACCATAATCCTTAATTGTATAGTTTTGTTAAGTGAATCGGCGCGTGTGAGTGATTATATTTGTTATTGTATAGTTAAAGATGTTAATTTAACTTGTTTAGTGTCAATTGTAATTTGGAAGGAAAGTGACAAATTCACAAAGCTCCGAGTAATAATATAATATATATATATATATTAAATATTTCTTTATTAACTCTTTTTTCTTCTTCTTATTTTCTATGATAATTTTAAATTTTAATAATATTTTTATTATTATAATTGTTAAATATTTAGTTATATTTAATTTTTTATGATGTAAATTGTAATGACAACCCATGAGGTTTTGGTCAATACTACACAAATGCAGTTCAACAATTTTTTGGACAACGACAGCTCAAAGGTTTCAAATGTCATATTTGATCTTGATTATTTAATTCGATTAATTCACAAAATATCAACTTGTTAATTGACGAAACTAACTCTCGTCCTTAGGCTTCTCTCTTTTACCCTAATTTCTAACATTCTTTTTTATTTCTTCCTTTTTTGTAAAGGAGCCGTCGAAAACTCATATTCTCTCTCTTCTCAATCTCTTTCATTCCCCTCTGTAATTTATTTGTTTATTTATTTTTGGGGACTGGCGGTTGAGGAGATAGCAGCTAGGACAAGTTCTCAAAATTTGGAGAAATTTTTTTGGTGTGGTAGTGTTGGGTAAATTGAGGGAAGGAAAATGGGGATGAGAGAGACAAGAGAATTGGTGAGAATGGTGACATAAAAACAGGTATGTTGTTTTGTTAAAAAAAAATTCCCCTTAATTGTGGTAGTGGTGGCGGGGTTAGACATGACCCCAATTTTTATTATTATTATTATTATTATTATTATTATTTATTTTATTTTATTATTTTTTTTTTCATATTGTTGTGGTGGCGGTGTATGGATTTGCCATGGCTATTGTGGCGGTTGTAGCGGTTATGGTGGTTATAGTGGTGTTTAGATTATTTGTTATTTTAAAATTTTTATTTATTATTTTTATTTTTCTGGGTCCATTCTGACAATATATGTATAGAAGAGACGAAGATATTAGTTTGGTCCATTAAAATTAGTTAGAGGTTAAATTTGTAATCTCATGTTTTAAATGTGGTATTTGACAAGTCAAAGGGCCTTTGGGTCATTTTAATGCGTGTAGAGGTCTAGACGGAGTGTGTATGCAAACTTTCGAACCTAGGGGTGGTGGGATTGCACGCCTGTTGACCGGCATTTGAATGGCATTGATCGAAATTGCAGGGTGTCAATGCAATTAACCATTATATATATATATATATATATATAATTTATCTTAAATTTGTTCAAATTTAAATAATATTTCTTAAAACTATGTATAGAGAACTCGGAAGTTCCAAACTCTCCCTGACTTTCACGTGGAACAAATTTTGAAAAAAAAAAAAATTGTGGGAAAGGAGAAATTCTTAGATGGTCTTGAACCATTAACACTTAATGGACCAGTTGAATTCAATTTCTCCTATTGAAAAAATTACCTTAATGCTGCATTTGGTATGTAGGAATAGAATGGAATGCAAGTGGGAATGATCATTCTCATTCTATTGTTTGGTTGTAAATATCAAATGTGTAGGAATGAAATGATAATAACCATTATAGTATTTGGTTGAATCAATTTAAAATTTAGAATGTAATAAATTTTAAATTAAATTCTCCAAAATATCCCTCTTAATAACAAATAAATTATATTAACAAAATGACATTTTCTAAAAAAATTTAAAAATAAATGGTGGCAGTGGCAGTTGTGGATGGTGGTGACGTTGGTGGTGAAGGTGAAAAGCGGTAGTGGTTTAGGTGGCGATGTTGGAAAGTGGTAGTGGTTTAGGTGGCGGTGTTGGAAAGTAACAGTGGTATTAATAGTGGAAGGCGGCGGTGCGATGGTGGAAGACTGCAGTAGTGTTGGTAGAAGATGGTGGCAGTAGTGTTGTGATGGTAGTGGAAGCCAATGGAGGCGACTGTAGTGGTGGTGGAAGGCAGTGGAGGTTGCGGTGGTGGTAAAAGGTGGTGGCAGTGATGGAAGGCGGTGATGGAAGGCGGTGGCGGTGGTGGCGGAAGGCGGTGGCGGTGCTGGTGGAAGGCGATGGTCGTGGTGGAAGGTGATGGCGGTGGCTGTGGCGATGCTGGTGGAAGGCGATGGTCGTGGTGGAAGGCGATGGCCGTGGCGGCGGCGACGGTAGTGGAAAGCGATGGTGGTGATGGAAGGCGGTGGCTATGGTGAAAGGCGATGGCAGAGGCGGCGGTGGTAAAAGGCGATGACGGTGGTGGTGGTGGAAGGCGGTTGTGGTGGTGGTAGAAAACGGTGGGCAATGGTGAAAGGAGATGGCGACGACGATGGCGGGGTGCTGGTGCTGTTGGTGGTGAAAGGTGGTGGTGAAAAGCGGTGGGTAATGGTGAAAGTCGGTGGCAGCGGTGTTGGTGGTGGTAGTGATGGTGGTGGTGAAAGGCGAAGGTGGTGGTGGTGAAAGGCGAAGGTTATTTTTGAACTTGAAACACGAGAGTTTTTTGGAAAGTTGATTTTTTAAAAGAATTTACTTGGGAATGGAATGGCCATTCCATAAGTTTAGTTGTGGAATGAATTTTCATTCTAATGTAATGATCATTCCTACTTTAAATTGCATACCAAACAAAAGGAATGGTTGAAATGGGCATTCCATTCCTGCACACTTACATTAATATATTACAAAGAAATTTTAATGTTAGTTTTCATTAAATTAGTGTAGACTATAGGCGTTGTTTAATAAAACTAAAAATTAAATACTGAAAATTTTAAGAGTTGAATTTTAAGTGTTTGTTTTTAAGCAATAATTAAAAAATAAATATATTTTTTTTGATATCTTTTTGTATTTTCAAAGTTCAGCCTCCAACAAGTTATGTATCTATCACTTCCCCTTTTTAGGGCTCGCATAGCTTTTACTTCTGCTTATACAAAAAAAAAAAAAAAAGAAAAAAAAAGAAAAAAAAGAAGTAATACAAGCCATCACTACTATTTGGCTTCTCTTCTTTGTTGTTGAAACCCCCGTTACTGTTTGGGAATTGCATTGTATAAGAGTTTTTAATGTTGTAAAAGTTTTTTTTTATCTGTTTGGCAAAAAATTTGCTAAAACTCTTCTACTACAAACATAACTATTTTACCCTTCATTCAATTTGATCAAATGTATTATAACAAGCCATATATATATATGTATATAATGATAATAATAATAAAAATAAAACTTTTAATATATCGTGACTATTTTTCCCTTCATTCAATTTCATCAAATTTGTTTATATGTATATCTGCATACATATACATATAAAGTCATGAAAACTTTTAATTTACCGTGATACTCATCAATTGAGAGTTACCATATCTGTTATCGTAACCAGGACTTTCTCCTAGGTTAACAGATGATCACCGCCATCCACCCAATCAAGTACCCTTAACTTCCAAATCTCTCTATCTCTACACAGACACCACAAAACATCGTACATATGCTGCAATAGCTGATTATATATATTACTATTTTAGAGAGAGAGGGCGGAGACCGAAACAAAAAGGCCATGATGGAAACCTCACCGATCACCATAGCTCCTGTGCTTCTTAGGAACCTCCTAACCTCTATATTTTTCTATGCCGATAAACCCCTTCTCAGTTTAGCAGAGAAATACAAACTCCTCCAATTCCTCCGCCATCTCCTCATCTCCACCTTCCTCTTCTTCCTTCGTCTTCTACCTTCTCTCTTTCCTGGCTTGCACCCGTACCCATCCTCAGATCATCATCATCATCATCAAAATTACCCTTTTACCCCTTCCGAAACTGATCATAATTACGTTCCCACCACCACCGGAGGTGGCGGTGCAGGCGGAAGCTGCGGCGGCTCAGGTATCGCTCGAGCACTTTCTCAACTCTTGTTGATTGTCAATGACATCCCCGTCAGTTCTCGTAAATATGAAGTTGTTCGATCGTTAGCTGAGACGCTTATTGATGAGAACCTCCAGGAGGGTTTTGAAGCCCTCCTCGAAGTGAACCGGACGGTCCTCTCCGCGGCTTTTTCGAGAACGCTTGGTCAGCTTGAAGCCACCGCGATCGACCAAGAGCGTCACCGCCACCGTGGTAATAGTGGTGGTGGTGAATCTGGTGATCATGGGACCGATTACAGGTTGAACCGGGTTCTAAGGGCGGTTCGGTATTGCGGTGATGTGGTGTGGACCGGGTTTGGGAAGTCAAGGATGGAGGGGCTTAACCGGTCGGGGAGTTCGGCTGAGAAGCTTGCGGCGGAGGTGCTTTGGCTGGCTCAGAAGCTGTCGGCTTGTGGGAGTGTTGAGGAGGCCGTGGGTAGGTGGGCTTCGGCTTCCAACTTGGCTTGGCTGGCTCTCTCGGCTGAGCCACGGCTGCAAGGATCTCTTGTTAAGGTCTCAGGTATGTTCTCTTTTTGCACCATGCTGTGTGTGGCCCTTGTGGAATATTATGAATTATATAATAATTAGTAATAATTATGAATTATATAATAATTTCTCGTATAATTAAAAGAATTATTTTTATTTTTATTTGCCTTAAAATTAAGTAAGTGCATGTGGATAATTAATAAGATTCCAACAACTTCTTTAGGTAACGAGTTATTTACTAAGATTTGTTCGAGAGTAAAGATACTTGCACGATAGAATTGTTAGTTCTATTATATATAATTAGTCATTAATGCATTGACGAGAAAGTAGAGGGTTTTATTTTTTATATTTGACATACATTAATCAATTAAATATAATAAACTTAACATTAATCAGTACTCTTTTTTCAATTGGGAGGGTGTTACCATAAAAGTTGGAACCATGGACTGTATGTGCGCACTTTTGTGAAAGTTCGAGAGAATTCCCATCAATGTCCTCACATTATCACCACCAAGGTGGCCATTTTCCCACCTCATATCTCATGTTACAGCGACAAGTTGTCACGTATATATACAGCGACGAGTTGGGACCATGTCCCTTCTGTAATCTTCGGTCATATGTTATAATACAATTTTAAATGGTTAATGTGACAACTTAAAATGAATCGTGTAACAACTTCGTAAAAATATTAAAATTTGAATTTAATGATAGTGTATCTTTGAAATATAATATAATATGTTGCGTATTAGATACTCGCTAGTCGCTATTCATTGAGTATTATTTATGTAATATAGGGGGTTGTAATCTGTTGATTTAATAGTACACAAAATTAACATACATATTGTTAGACTATTCTTAGATACACATACATATTGTAGAAACATATAGCCTCTGATTTTTTTTTTCATCTGATATGTCATGGCAATTTCCACGTCAGGATTCATTCTTTGGACTCTCTCTCTTAAATTGTTACTTATTTATTTATATCTTTTCCCCTGTTGTAGCATTCTTATTCAAGCAAGTCAAAGACATGGGAGGAGAGGAAGTTGAAGAAGAAGCGAAAGAGCAACAAAGGCAAACAAAGATGAAGATGCTTATGTCTTGGCTGCCCTTACTATGCAGAGCAAGCAACGGCGTTGAAGCTCCGGTTCTGAGCATTGCGGAGAGAAACGAGCTCGAAAAAATACTGGAAGAGACGATCGAGACACTGAAACAAGAAGAGGAGCAAGAGAAGGTACTGTCTCTGTGGCTCCACCACTTCACCTACTGCCCCTCCTCCGACTGGCCCAACCTCCACGCTTGCTATGCTCGCTGGTGCACCGCTTCTCGCAAGCTCTTGCTCCGCCAATGAATATATATATATATATATATATAGAGTACTCATCACTGTTGGTTTATTTGGAAAGATCCTATTTCTGGTAAGGACAAGTTATGCTCAATTGTTGATTAGAAGGGAGGATTATGGAGCAATATATATAATATTTGTAGGCCTAGCTATCAAAATGGTTTATTCATTTTGTACTTATAGCATTATTTTGAAAAAGAGACATCTATTATGTTAATATTTGACTGGATTAGTTTTGAAAATGTGCAGAAAATAGACTTTTTTGACATCGGTTGAGTCTCAATTTCAAAAAGTCTACTTTTTATTTTGAATTGGTCTCATGTAAAGTTATAGTCTCAGTTCCTATATTTCGTTCTTTACCAGGTCTACCACTTTTAACTTTTGGTATTTTTCTTTTCTTGGTATTACCCTCTAGACTATGTCAATTTTTTTTAACTTGTACACTTAAAGGTACCAACTTATATGCAAATGTAGCTCATAAAATTCAAAAAAAAAGTCATATAGACAGGAAATTTCAAGTTTTCAACTGGTTATTTTCTGTTGGCATATATTTTACTTAAAATTAATAATGTCTTTTAGATTATTGTTTTTTCATTGATTTTTGTTAATACTATTTTATTTTTTTCCTGTACCCAAATGGTTTGAGACAAAAATGAAGAAAAGTAAAAAACAAAATTATTATTGTTCAATAAAAAATGACAATTTTTTTTAACCAAAAATTCAAACAATTTGTAGAGATAAAAAGTATTTACGAGTATAAGAGCCTGCGGGCTAACAACATCAATGATATATATATTTGGTTTCTCAAATAGTGATATATATATTTGGTTTCTCAAATGGTGATATATATATTTGGTTTCTCAAATAGATTAGAATGTGAACATAATGAGAAGTGCTAGCTGCTCATTAAAAAAAAAACAGAGTGATTGGTTAAAAAACAACGATATTAGTCCCACTGCCATTGGAATTAATTTTCAACCAATAATAATACCGAGTTCGGATCCAATGATCACCATCAGGGGTGAAGTTAATGCAGGCCTAGGGCAATTGCCCTGCTGGCCCCGCCCACAATAATATATATAGTTATTTTGATTTTTTTTTATTTTTATATTTATATTAAAAAAATTTAATTAATGCCCTTAAATTTTTAATTTTGAAAATTCTCTCTTTAACTTCTTTTTTTAATATTTTATTCTTTAATTTTTTTTTTTTAGGAAAAAGGTCAAAATTTTCTTCTCAAATCAAATTTTAATTTTAATTTTAATTTTTTTTTAAGTTGTCTAATTTTTATTTATTTATTTTTATTCTCACCGTTACTCAAGTACAATATGTGCAAGCAAATGCCTCTACTTCAGTGGATTTGTGTTTATGATAAATTTTAAAAAATCAAGTTTTGACTTTATGTATTTATTAATTTAATTTTTAACGAGTCAAAAACACAGCTGGCCGTGCATTAAAACTCCGCTGTGGTGGATGTGAATGTGAGCACAATTATGACTGCAACCAAAGCAACCCAAGAACCGTCACAACTCATTATATATGTTGACTATGTCGTACTCCATTGTTTTTTAATACGGAGTGCTGAAGCGAACCTAAACTCCCAAAGCCGTTGATTTCCCAGTGGGCTGCATGAATAATTATTGACTTGGATAATGACTTTATGAACTGTGACATTTATACTTGAATGGTCAAACTGAACCAATTATTTGTGAAACAAAAATATATATATATATATATATGATTACTTAGTCAATAAACAATTCTGCTGCATCATAACAATGTTAGTTTTCATTAACAAATTGGTGGATAGTATTGATAAAATTGCATAGATAATTAAAAATACAAACCAGTGATTAATATACAAGATTGCTAGAAAATCAAAGAAAATAACGATTATTAAAAATAACAGTATCATCATCATTCTCTTCATTCTTGTCCGAATTTTACATGAATAGAGTCTCTTATGCACGACTTCTTCTTTTCACTTACCATATGTCTTCAGCATAGTCGCCATCATCATTCCAAGTTAATTTTGGTCGCCCTCTTTGTCTCTTAATTTCTATTACTATTAGCCTTTCTCGTTTGGCTGATGCATCTCTAAGCCTTCAATATATGTGTTCAAATCATCTAAGTCTGTTTTCTCTAATTTTCTCACCAATGTATGAATTTCACTTACAATATTTAATCTTTTAAATTTTTATTTTTATTATTTTTTAAAATAACATCAAACCATATTATTTTTGATCGCCTTCCTCGTCTCTTGTCTCGTATTTCAATTAGTCTTCCTTGCATAATCAGTGTCGGGTGCGTACGATGTTAAACCTATACGAATTCTTTCTCACAATTATTAAAACAACAATGTTAATATAAAATATTATGTAGAATAATAACTAAAGATATATTTACTGAAAAGTTCATAATCTTTGAATTTATTAGAAAATAATAATACGGACAAAACACAAACAATTTAACAATACATTTCACCATAAGTTGTTAGGCTATCTATAAAAAATAAATAAATAAAGATTATTCAATACTAAGCATAGTCTTTGTTAAAATACTTAACGAAAATAATTACATTATCTATTATTATTATTTTTTGTCAATAATGATAATGATGTCTGACCTCTCTGAACAATTCATAATCCACCATCAAACACGTACAATCCTCCATTTTACATACATATCATATACATCGAGTAATTATCAAAAATTTTTGTTGAGTGAAAAAATCAATAAAAAAACGTAATGATAAAAAAATGCTCAAGTTCGTCCTACCAGCTTCTCACCTCTCTAAGCTTCAAAGTGAAAATTAAGGGACAAGTGACAACAGTTATGCATGTATATGTCTTGCTTATAAAAATAACGAAAGAAAAGAAGAATTTGAAACTTTATAATTTTTATTTTATAGATAAGTTTTTGGTTGGGTCTTATAATTCTTGTCATGAGTTTTTTTTATTAAATTATCAGATGATCACTAAATAAGTAACAATCACATCACCACCTTACTTATATTCATAATTCTATTCAGTGAAATAAAATAAAATAAAATAATTATGTTTAGACATGTGAGACATGTGATTTATTGTAAATGGATTTTATATAACGATTTTGACTATAATTTTTTTTTTTGGAGGGAAAAATAATACTCCCACAAAAATTGTTTTTTTGCAACCTAACTTTTAAAAATATAATTTTAATTTTTTTTTTATTATAGTGATAAAAAATAAATTTCCAAATATACTATCCACGCATGAAAGTTTATTTTAAATTTTAATTGTACCGTGTATAATTTCCCAAAAAAAAAATAAAAAAAAAAGAAAAGAAATCACTGATCGTCCCACCCAGACCATAAACGAAGTTTATTGACAAATTTATTTATTTATTTGGACTATATTTATTGAAACAACACAAAAATCAATTGATTCTTTGAGTGTTTGAAAAATGTTTGGCAATGGTGCGGATACCTTTTTGTCCCGCCACTTGTCACCGGCCGCTGCCACTGCTGAACTGATTCAATCCTCCAAAACGAACTCCGGTGGGTGTATTATACAAATTCTATGCAAAAACTACACACACATATATAGTTATTGGCACACACAAATGTATATTTGCAAGTCGGATAGATTATCAATCTATCTTTCCTTTTCCCATTTCCTGTTTCTACTGTTTGATATCGTGATTCCTATTTTCTTTAGTGGTTCTGTGTGCTTTCTACATGTTTGACGAAATGCCTCAATTGATGTATGATATTTCACCTTGGTATTTCTATGTAGCTTTCATTATAATATATATGAATGCGTTGGATCAACTTAAGCATGGTATAAATAACTAATCTCTTACTTATAAGGGTTGCTTTTTTTTGTTTCTTTTAATCAATTATTGAATTATATAAAGTATATTTGTCTCTTACCAATCCAACTGTTGAATTATATACCTTTATTGTTTTCTATCATGTATTTTTTGGTTAGGTGTTGTTTTTTGTAACAATTTCTTTTGGGTAAATTAGAAAACCCTATTTTCTTTGTTATTTTATTTTTGTTTATCAGTGTTTTTGTTATTGTTGTTGTGATTGTTCGGCTCAGCATTCAATGATATCCATCATTGAGAAATATGATAGCTTTTTGTAACGTATGCTATACATCAAGTGTCCAATTTGAGAACTCATAAACAAATTTTGAAAGTGAGCACTAGTTTAACGCTTGATGTTGAGTAGATAATCTAAGTATTCGATTAACATGATCTTTTGCATGCAATAGAAATATGAAAAAAAGGCACTGAGAGATGTGTTCACAAAGATCAGTTATTGATGGGTGTAAGATTAACTTAATGTCACAACAGGTGTAAATGGATCCCTCCCATATATAAAATATATATTTACTTTGTTATTTTCTTGTTAAATCTTGAATAAAACCTTGTTTACCACTGATCTTTAAAGCATCAGAACATTCTCTCTCTGATTTTGATTGCACTGCTAGAAGCACAAGAGAAGCTTTCCCTTATCATGGATTGAACTTTTTTTTCATGCGGTTAGTGATAATTCTCTTCTTGGAAAAATAACTTAGTTTGGTTTTACTAAAGTTGATATAAAGTTTATTATTCGTTCGCATGTAAGACAATGACATTTCATTTGCGCTTATTACTTCTCATTAGACAATAAGGAAAATTGATCAACCCTTTATATTTCGCCGTACTTCTTGTCTTTACTATGATTGTAGAGTGCAAATAATGTTATAAAATAATGAGGATTCATCTATTGTAAAACCATATAAATGCAATCACCATTTAGTTAAATCTTTACTTCATTTGATATAAACTTGTTGTTTCCTTTCAGAAATATCATCTGCTTATAGGATTAAAATCAATGCAGTTTCTATTTTCTTTTTGAATAAATGGTTATCTCACTGCAACTACTTGCTAATACAATGGACTTATTATTATTATATATTTTTTTGGGTACATGATATCTATTTTCTTCTACATTATTGAAGCTTTTAAAATATCTATATTGGTGTGGCGTGTATGTTTTCAAGAGCCAAAAACAAAAAATAAAAAGATTTATACTATTGACACATCTTTCTTTATATTTACCAACCATTAGATGTTGCAACTCTTCAACTATATATTTTTAGTTCCTTTTGTGCACTTTTTTTTTTTTTTGGGAAGAAAAATTGTACGGCAATTTGGCCAAAAGTTTTAAGGTCTTAATTTCACCAATAGCACATTCACATCTATTTTTTTTAAATTTTCTCTTTATAAAAGAATAAAATTGCAAAATGCCTTCATGTGCACATGTATGTGGGGGGACTGAATCTCATGTTAATATTATTATGACTGCCTTCTTTGTTTGATTCCTTTGTTTTATCAAATATAATGAATTTGTGCATACTCTAAAGCAATATTCTTGCTTCACTTTCAGGGGACTGGTTTCTATGTGTGGTGGGAAACATAACGTTTATAATTGAGGTGGGTGCCTGATTGTGCAACTTGGAATGGTGTTACTATTTAAAAGAGCACACAGAAAGATGTCTGCCATTGATCGTGTAAGAACAAAAATAAAGCATTTATGCAGTCCAGCAATGTATATGAGCCTATGAGGTAAATAAGTCCACAAGGGTTTTCTTGAGGAAATTTCTATTATCATTTGAACTTGACTTCATTATAACTCATTGCAGAAATTTTCATCTATAATACATCGTTTTCTTTCTATATATATATATTTTTTTCTCTCCTCTTTATTTGAGACCTAAAATCTGAAAATGATATTCTGTTCTTTCATAATCATAAAGAGATTTCATAGATTGCTATTTATCCGAAGAGAATCATCTTCAGTCTACGGTTCAACATATAGTATTAAGAGTAGAGAACATGATTTTTGATCTGATGAAATTCAATTGAATTGTAACTTCATAGTATAAGATTATGTGGTACTTCATTACATTGAGCAGCTCCAAGCACCGATGGTTTTGATCTTTACAGGTTGGGCAACTACTTGGTCCAGTTCCATTAGTGGTCTAAGGCTGAAAGTCTCAACCACCACAATTTGGTAGGTTGGAGACCTGAGATTGACTGATACTCATTGGGCAGCAAAACCAACCTGAATCCAATTACTTTGGAGCTATCTATATGTGATTCTTATATTTATCGAAAGGGAATGGGAGCACATCATCTCATCAGAAAATCCTTGAAAATCTCACCAGAAATAGCTGTCTGCCTGTCTTCAGGGTCACCCCTCCTTTCTCATCCATTTCTGCATACGTATCTAAGTAGTTTTCTTCTCCTTTGGACCAAATATGGGGTTCCCTAAAAAATTGAGATTCTAGAGAATATCAGAAACTTTCTATGAGTGAAATTTATTACTCTTTTTTTTATTTTTTATTTTTTTTATTATTATTTTTTTCCCCTTTAATTCTGTAGTCAAACTACTCATCCCAATCAAGACTACCCATCCCAATCAATCTGGTTCATCCTACTGTCTTGATAAGGGTTTGAGCTTAAGCTGTAACGCTTGGGTCAGAGGCTGGGTTGGGTTGGGCCTTTCGCAGTGTTTAACTACTTGGATTGGGCCTAGATTAGTTTTCAAGTCTTCAGTTGTGGCAGTTTATATGCCTTAAATGCAAGAGGTTAGAAGTTTTAGCCCTTGATGGGTCAAGGGTAGATATTAAATTTTCTTTGATATCGTGATGTTCTTGCTTGTACAGAAGAGAAACTTCTAAATCCCATACTCTCACCACAAAATTTACTAAAGTTGGCTGTTTAATTACAGACAATTTTTTAAGTAGATGAAAGGTTCAATGTTTTTAGTTCCACATATATTGATGAAAAATAATTTGTTACAAGATTTTGCCAAATATGATTATTAATCTAGTTGCAATTGCCTTTTCTTGAACATGAGAGTATATACTGTTACAAAATGAATGGCTTTGAGTAAATGTCAAATTTCTCGGAGGATGATAGTTGAGGCACCTGCAAAGTAACCAATAATGCTCAAAATTGTGATTACTTTGAAAAAACTTTTATTCAAGTAAATAACAAAATAAAAAGATTAAGACTCCACCTGATTATCATAATTTGTTAATGTGTTTCTAAAATATTTAAATGCACATATAAGTAATGATCATAGCACTCACTACACCCACATTTATCTGACTAAACCAAGAAAATATGCATGGATGTTCATTTTTAATAAACTTCATGCCGTTAAAAGAGTGTCTTTTATTTATTTTTTAAATCTTTTAAACAACATACTACCTAAAGTAAATTGATCAGATTATTTGTACGAAAACTCACTCGTACTCATTATGTCATTGCACATTATGCCTGCAAATAAGAGATAATTGCATGCATATCAATATTACCTGTGATAAGTCTATATGGAACACTTTTCTCACAAGAGATGCAATGGGACCGTCTAAACGTATTCCTGTTTTAGCTTCGCGAATCACATTACGCATGACATTCAGCAAGCGACCATATGTCAATCCAGGTTCATTTTGCAGAGCTTGAATGAAGCTGTAAGTCATGGCACCAGTTGAAACATTACCAGTGAATGCCTGCAAATGATACGAATTACAAACTCAATTGATGGATTTAGTCTATTTGAGTTTTCAGTCCACTTATCATATAATGGTATATCTGCTTTAGAGTTTAGATCATAAGAGCGTACAGAAATTTTAGTTCATCTCTTGCTGACAAAATGGTAATTTTTTATTAGCTCTAACTAGGATTTTTTTTAATTTATTTTTCCATGCATGATCTAACAATCACAGTAAGCATTTAATGATTCTTAAATTGCTAAAAAAAAAGTTTCTGTTGTGTCAGGATGTAAAAGGTTTTATCATTTATTTAATTGCAGCTGCTTTTAATGCAGCTACATATGTTTGTTAAGGGTTTACAAGATATTAATATTTTAAAGGGTTGATGCTGGCTATTTGGATTTACATGGTATGTTGACTGAAAAATATATAAAATAGATATCTTTTATTTGAATTCTAATGAAAATGGTAGCCTATCATAATTGGTTATCCCTCGGAAGCTTTTAAGCACAAATCTCCCCTAGGGGGGCCCTAGGGGGTGCCATGTCCGTATAAGAGACGTGTCCAACGCTCCAGGGAAGTGTCCTGGGGTGTGGTTTAAATTTTATTTGGTTGGACACGACAGAGACATGTGAAGGATGGATATTTTTTTGGAATTATTCTTTTCAAAAGATGGGGTTTCAAAAGTAATCTGAAACATGTCATGGATCATTGCTTCTTAGCTTGGAAGAGATAGTGCCATGCTGGTATTGATCTATACTTTGGATAAGTAACAAGTGAGAAATATGCTATTTAGAAGGAAAGGAGATAAAAGTGACTACACACCGTAGTATCTACGGAAAGTTGATGATCGTCACAAGAACTAAATGATATGGCTAGCCCGCCGCTCGTGCCTTTATAAGTAGCTGCTAGGCAGCTATGATCTTCCCAATGATAGTATCCTTCCCTAAAGCACAACAAGAAACAGAACTCTTTTATGATTTTAGTGAGGGTAAAATTGGTTTTTACAGTTACAGATTGAGGAGTCAAATGATAATTTAATCACTAACTGGTTCATCCTGCACACAAATGGTAGATCAAGAATAGTTCCGCTATGGCATGCATCGATGATGGCATGAAGCCTGGCCCCATGGGGGAGTGGCCTCACAATGGTGGCATTAATTTCGTCATCCAATATCATCCCCTCAGTTTCAACATCTACAGGGCACAATGTTTCATCATACCCGTCCATCTCATCCATGTTAAAGTCACGCTGTTGTGAGCCATGGCCTGAGTAGTAGAAGACCAACGAGTCCCCTGATTGGCATCCTTGAACAAGCCACTGCATGGCCATTCGGATATTATGCTTTGTTGGGATGCGTGATGGCTCAATCTCTTCTTCTGCAAATTGATTTTTATTTTTACCAATGTGAGAATTGGAACTTATTTTTGAATGTCATATGTTGCAATTTCAAACCTAATCTATCTGAGTCCACTTATTTTCAGATGTCTATTTTTGGCATTCCAACTTGTTAATCTATCAAGAATGAAAGGCATTTCAATGCTTTGAATTTGGCATGAGTTATATTCATTCAAAGTTATAAAATATTTAAGAAAAAAAAAACACATATCAATTTTTTGTAATCTTATACTACCTATATATTGCCACATACATAGCCTGTTAACCATAAATATGACACATAGATGACATATAGCTGTCACTTGTTAGTTTGTTTACTTGAATATCTTAGCAGTTCACATGGAAACTTTCTTCTACCAGTCCCCTAATATCATGCATGTGAAAAGTATTGTAGACCAGGAAAAAGTGGTGCTCAGGTTGGGGTACAACAATATCTGTTAGTTTGAGCAGAATTATAGATGATAGATAGATGGATCGTACCAGTGAGGACAAGCACAGAGTTGTTTGGAAATCCCATCTTCTCGACTAGGAAATGTTTGATGCACCTTACGTCGTTAACACTTCCTTTAATCCTGTAACTCCGCCCATAATAGCTCACTCCACATAAAACTGCTCTCTTTCTCCCACGTGCCGACACAGGTAATGATGGTGGTGGAGGTCGGATTGGTTGAGGATAATAACCACAATAAGATGACCCTGGCATGGGATAATTATTCACTGAAGAGGCCATTGTGTTAACGTTGGTTGACACTGTATTAACAAAACCCTTAAGCCAGCTTGCAGCCTGGCAAATCGAGTCTTGGGCTTCAGCCAAAGGGTCATTAGGTCCAACCCGGGTGACTGCTTGACACACTGCACACTGAATGGTTTGTGCCCTAGGTGGCACCAGTAGTTGCACATGGCACCAACTGCATCTCTCTCTTCTAGTATTCATTTTCTCTTGTGTGCAATTCTTGAGGGTGAGAAATACCAATACAAAGGTATTTTAAAATGAAAGGTAAGTGGAATCACCTAATAAAGTCAGACTTGTCCTTTTCACATTTTGCTTTATCTCTTAAAAAAGTTTAGCTTTATTCCATTACATGTGTATTAGAGAACCGGATTCGCTCTTCTTTCTTTCATGGTTTTTGATATCATTGTTAACTTGTGCGGTTGAGAAATTAGGCAAGTGTGACCTTTTTTTTTTTATCTTAAAATGACACTATTAAAAAAGAACCAGGAAAGCACTATTAACAGGGTATTGGAAAATCATATCGTGTCAAATATTCTTAAAGCATTCTGGTAGCCTAAAGACGTTCATAAAGTTAAAAATCTTTGTTTGGGTGCTTATTAGAGATGGGCTCGGGTTTATGCTTTAAGGTATAGAATTCCCTTTCCCGATTTTAATGTGGACTACAAAGCATCGTAAAGCATGAATTGCTCCTTTTATCGTATTGATGAGGAAAGCGGTAACCTCATATTCTACACCAAATGTCATTTGCTGATGGTCATATGTGGGTTTTATCGAGTAGCATTTAGTAACCTTGGAAAGCAAGCTAGCTTCAAGGCTTTTTTGAATTTAATCTGACAAAATCATGCTTCTGTTTTATATTCCACAACAGAAATGAACAATTACATACATTGCACTGGCATACTTGTCTGATACATTGATCATTTGCCTTCATGTATGGTACTTTGTAAAATATGTTGTTTTGAACTTAAAACTAATACCAGTGAAATATGTTGAACCACCTTTCTGCTTGCATTTACTCTATTTTCCTTAGGAAATTTGAAAATGCTTTTATAAATGAGGTTAAGTCAAAAAAGGCTTTGTGCTTATCCATGCCCCTCATTTTTCTTATTAATATGGTCCATTTCTAAAAAATGATATTGGCAGTAGGCCATGCAAGCACCTTGACACTTAGAGGCCTCAATCTCATGTGTTTACTGTGTGATACTACTGCTTAGAAAATGTTGCAATTGCATGTAATTTGATATATTAGGTTATACCGGAGTCTATGGACCGGTTGTTGATGATGTTCGACCTATCTTTTGGGAGGAGCTTCGCCATGTCCAAGGACTATGGTCTTTCCCTTGGTGCCTGGGAGGGGATTTCAATGCTGTTAGATCCCCATCAAAGAGGTCTACAGGGGGAAGAAGATCTCTGGAAATGGATCAATTTTCTGATTTTATTGATGAGCATCTTCTTGTTGATTTACCAATGGAAGGAGCAGCTTATACTTGGTCCAATGGTAGGGATCCAGTAACTCTATCAAGGCTGGACAGATTTTTAATTTCTGGGGATTGGGAAGAGAAGTTCCCGGATGTTGTTCAAGCGGTGTTAGAAAGGGTCACTTCCGACCATGTGCCTTTGGTTTTGGATTGCGGGGGTTTATGCTCTCAAAGATCCCCGTTTAGATTCGAGAATATGTGGTTGCGTGCGGATGATTTCCAAGGAAAAGTCAGTTCTTGGTGGGAAGGAGTCACTTCTTCAGGCTCGCCCAGTATCACAATTGCAAAGAAGTTAAGGGCTCTCAAATTAGCTCTTAAGCAGTGGAACAAGGATGTCTTCGGGAATTTGGAATGGAGGAAGAATAGAGTACTTGCTGAATTTTCAGAGATTGATCGTCTTGAGGAGGCCGGAAGGGATATGGAATCTCTTCGTTCCAGGAGAGTCTCTTGTCAGGCGGTATTTGCTGAGATTGCTAGTATGGAGGAGATCTCGTGGCGACAAAAATCCCGGGCTCTTTGGTTAAAGGAAGGTGATCGGAACACAAAATTCTTCCATTGGTTAGCTAACGCTTATAGGAGGAGTAATCATATTGGAAGAATTCGGGTGGATGGTGAGGAGTTGTGGAGAGAGGAAGAGATGCGTAACGGTATTGCTTCCTTTTATCAGAAGCTTTACACAGAGCCTTTAGATTGGAGGCCCAAACTTGATGGTCTCCATTTTGAGGCTATTTCTGAGCTTGATAGAGATAGGATTGAGAATCCTTTCACTGAAGAAGAAGTTCTTAAAGCTCTCTCAAGCTGTAATGGGGACAAAGCTCCGGGACCTGATGGCTTCACTATGCGATTTCTGATGGAAAGTTGGGCGGTTGTAAGAAATGAGGTAATGGGTACTTTTCAGGAGTTTCATTCTTTTGGCGTCTTTGAGAAATCGCTTAATGCTTCATTCATTGCCCTTATTCCAAAAAAGGGAGGTGCTTCAGATATAAAGGATTTTCGTCCTATTAGTTTGGTGGGTTGCATTTACAAACTCATTGCTAAGGTGCTTGCTTTAAGGATGAAGGAAGTTATGGATGGAATTATTTCGGATTCCCAGAACGCTTTCGTTGGCGGACGACAAATTCTTGATTCAGTTCTTATTGCTGGCGAATGTGTGGATTCCAGATTGCGGAGTGGCATTCCTGGAGTTCTATGCAAACTTGACATTGAGAAAGCATATGATCATGTGAATTGGAATTTCCTACTCTATTTGTTACAAAGAATGGGGTTTGGAAGTAAATGGAGGAAATGGATTGAGACCTGTCTTTCTTCTGTCAAGTTTTCAGTTCTTGTGAATGGCTCTCCCGCCGGTTTCTTTGGTTGCTCTAGAGGTATAAGACAAGGTGATCCTTTGTCATCTTTCCTTTTTCTTGTTGTTATGGAGGGGTTAAGTAGACTGATGCATAGGGCAGAGGACCTTGGTTTTGTTAAGGGTTTCAGAGTGGGTAGAGATTTTGACCATCAGATGGAGATTTCCCATTTACTCTTTGCAGATGACACCCTGGTTTTCTGTGATGCTGATGTGTCTCAACTTCGACACTTGAGGTGTGTTCTGACTTGTTTTCAGGCAGTTTCCGGGCTAAAGGTCAATGTGACAAAGAGTGTGCTTGTCCCAGTAGGGAATGTTCCAGATATTTCCTCTTTAGCTGCAGTCCTTGGATGTAGAGTGAGCTCATTCCCTATTCCTTATTTGGGTTTGCCCCTAGGGGTCTCTTCTAGTTTAGTGGGGAGTTGGGATTCTGTGATTGACAGGTACGCGAAGAGATTAGCAGGTTGGAAGAAGCAATACTTGTCAAAAGGGGGTAAAGTTACTCTTATAAAGAGCACCCTGTCGAGCCTTCCCACTTATTTTCTCTCTATGTTCCAAATCCCTTGTTTCATTGCAGACAGGATTGAAAAAATTCAAAGGGATTTCCTTTGGGGTGGTAAGGGCGATGAGTTCAAGTACCACCTTGTCAAATGGGAGGATATTTGTAAGCCTGTGAAATTGGGTGGACTTGGTATAAGACGTTTAGTTCCTTTCAATCAAGCTCTCTTGGGTAAGTGGTTATGGAGATTTGGGAGGGAAAGACATCGACCATGGCGCAGGCTAGTCTCTTATCGGTTTGGCGAAGAGGCTGGAGGTTGGTCTACGCGTCCGGTTACCCTAGCGGGAGGAGTAGGGATGTGGAAGGCTATTCGGAAAGGATGGGATGTTTTTTTCGGCTCATATCAGATTTAAACTCCATGACGAACGTTGCATTCGGTTTTGGGAAGATCTCTGGTGTGGGGATCAGTCACTTTCTCGTACTTTTCCAAGATTATATAGTATTGCCGTTAATAAACACGCCTACATAGTCGATTGCTATCGGCTTGATAGCAGCGGGATTATATGGGATGTGCATTTTCGGCGCTCTTTTCAGGATTGGGAGATGGACGAGGTATGTGTTTTTTTGGATCTTCTGTATCGACAGGAGGGCGTTGGCAGAGGTAATGATGTTTTAAGTTGGGTTCCCTCTTCTCATGGTCGTTTCGAAGTTAGATCTTTGTTCTTATGTTTGTCAAATTTTGTTAATCGAGACTTCCCGTGGAAAACTATTTGGCGGTCTATGGCTCCAACTAGGGTGGCTTTCTTTGTTTGGACTGCTGTGTGGGGAAAGATTCTGACAATTGATAATTTGAGAAAAAGGGGCAATTGTATAGTTAATTGCTGTTGTCTATGCAAGGATGGCGAGGAGTCCGTTAACCACCTCCTTTTCCATTGCCCTGTGGCGATTGACTGTTGGAATCTTATTGTTGGGTTGTTTGGCATGTGTTGGGTTATGCCACGATCTACTAAGGAATTGATTCATATTTGGAGAGATTGTCGAGTGAGAAGAGACGTTGCGAGTTCTGGAGAATTGTACCACATTGCGTATGGTGGTGCATTTGGAAGGAGAGAAACAGCAGAATGTTGAAGGAAAAGAGTCGCCTACGGAAACGGTCAAACTTTACATTCTTCGTTCTCTCTTCAATTATGTGAAGAGGAGCTTTTGTTCTTCTTCATATGATCTAATTACTTTTCTGGATTCTTTGGGGCCTTAGCTCCGGTTCCATTTTTGTAATTGGGACGCGTTCTCCTTTTGAACGCCTTTTTTAATATTATTTTTACTTATCAAAAAAAGAAGAAGATATATTAGGTTATTAAGGAACAGTAACAATTGTACATCTTAATTATGGTCCAAATATTAATGATGTCCTTGTCTTTAATATACAGAGTTTTACATTCTCTATAATCTGCAGGCCACTGTCACTATAAGGACTTGGTTTGCTGCGGTGGGTAAAAATTGGAGCTAATGATTTGTGGAAGTTTAGCATTATTTTTAACCCGAACAGGGCATATAAATGATGCATACAGCTGAACAGAGGATAGAAAACAATAAGCATTTTCAGAAGCTGAAGCAGATGATATAGAGGTAAAACTACTATGGCTCTATTTGAGAAACTTCTGTTTTTCATTTCAATTTGACCTTTTCTGATTTCATTCCAATAAAAATTTATTTTGTTTCAAGTTCTGAAGGATGTTTTGTTCATCTATAACCTTGTGTGATTTGTTTAAGATGCTGCTTCTCTAAAGAGAATTGGCTAGGATTATTATCCTGGATAATAACCTTAAACTAAAGTATAATTTAGAAGAAAAGTGAGCTCAACGAGCTATAGAAACCTATTGCCAGACACCAATTGCTGCTTCCTGCGCACTGTAAAACAGCAAAAGCAGTAACTACAGGTCTATAACTATTCACCAGCAA